TCCCTTTAGTTAGTTCATACCATTATCCTTAAAAAGTGACGTTCTACAAGTTTGGATTCAAATTCTCACATAACCAATAAGAAAACGAGACATATTTTACATTCAAATGTATTTGTGTGCAATTTGTCAACGGAAAAATTATTTTCTGTTTGTAATTGTCTGTAATTGAGATGAGATGATGAGATTTCAGATTTCACAGACAAAAACAAGAAGCAGCAACGAGTCTTTAAGACATTGTTTAGCAGGGTTGGGTTAATTTAATTGGCTTTTACTGGCTGTTATAAGCTAATTGCCAGTTTTCCACAAGGCGATTGGCTGGCTTGTAGGAAAATTTCTGAGCTTATGATTTAGATTTTAGGCTTTTAATCGACTTTTGGCTGCTTGCAAGAGAAATGTGACATGAAAACTGTGGATAATTAAACCATATTTATCAATAGGGAAGAGAAACAGATTTAATTTGGGTAACTAATACAAATCCTAATTAAAATAAAAAAAAATGATGAAGAAGAAGATAAATGAAATTGATTCTTGGTCGAAGAGGAAACTGCGAAGAAACTGCGAAGGCTGACCTTGGGCCTTGCGACTGTAGGAGCTATTTTCTTTAAGGTTCCTTTTCCAGAGTATAATAACATAATTTCAAGTAACACATCTGCCAGATAAAATCATGAAAGACAAGCTTCAAATTTTAGAAGCAGAGTTGCCGATGGTGTTGATTCAAAGGAAAATTGAGGGAAATTGCTCCCCAGTAGCAAGGCATAAGGTCAGCTTCCTACTTACTTATTCCACATCCTCCGAAGTCTGAAGTTGGCACGTAAATTCTCAAATCATGATATATGCAAATTCCCTTTTTACGATTATGAAATCTCTGGCATTTGTTACTGATCTATTTCCTATCTTCAGGCATGGAAATTTAAGACAAGGCCATAGATTTTATGCATCCTTATCATGCTGCAAAATCTGGTGACAGGACATCAATATTTATTGTGGGGTTTCTTTTCTTGAATAAAAGATCTGATCTTTCGAAATATAATGAAAAACCCAGCTCAACCCATAGTTCACATAAAAATTATGAAAAGAATGAGAAAAAATGAGCATGCCTCGTTGAAATAGTATGAGTTTTAAGAATCAAATTTAAATGATTACCATGAACAAAAGAACCACAATTTAAAGATTGGATATCATCAAGCATCGATTTGTTGCAGCATTTTAAATATATTTTTTGAAGATTTACGTATTGGTCACTTCACCCTTTTCTTTTTTTTTTTTTAATTCTATTAAACCATAAAAAAATTGAGAGCATGCTCATGCAAATACATCATCATGTTGATAATGATAAGAAATAAGTATTCAGGATCGTCATCTTTGTCATCACTTATCATCAAGGTTAGAAAATTTTTTTAGAATATGAGCTAGAGAGGACAGATGCCATACGGATGTTTGAAAGTTGCAATTGTTAAGGCTGGCTTTGCCTCCAAAACACGTGGTTTTGATTTCTTTGTTAAAAAACACTACAACTACTACTACTTAAATATATTTTCTAAAGGCCTTCAATATCGGAAAGTTTGTACGTGTGACTTTAGTTTTATATAACATTCGGTGTTAACTTAAATTAATCGATTTTAAATTAATAACGCATCTTGTTTTTGAAAAAAAAAATGAATGTGTTCTTTTGCTTCGCGATCCGTCAACTATGGATCCATCGAAATGGCGTTCGGGCATTTGAAGTAAACGAAGCCACGTTCTCACATTGAACAGATTTTTTATATTGAAGAGTTTGAATGTATGAATGTAGTATATATAAGATTTCGTATTAATTTAAACCAACAAAATTTGAGTTAACGATGTCTTTTATTTTTAAATATATATATATATATATATAATGTTCAAGATGTACGTTTTGCAGAAAATAAGGATTTGAAAATTGAACCTGCGGCCCCCAAATCCAGCCGCAAAAATTGAGAGCATTAAGTGCTTTTTACTTTTCAATTATTCATGGTAGAAAAGGTGATTTTGTATTTGTTAACAAGTCAATCTTCAAAATTGACTGTTTATTAATTTCAAGATTAAGAGCATGCAGTTGCATCTCTTAATATATATAATATAATCAACACTAGCAATGGTAATTCAAGATTAAGGGCTCTGTCCATGCAGCCTTACGTCCGCGTAGAAAAACTCCTTTCTTTGTCGTGTTTTCTTCGAGGTTTTATAGTGTTTATTTGTTCGACGAAGAAGGGGCTGCTTTTGTCGTTTTGAGACAAAACTTCAAGACAAACATTGCGGTCGAAACGCACACGTGCTGATGGTTGGCAGGTTGTGACCACGTACACAGCTATAAGGGTTTCTTCTTTCTTTTTTTTTTTTTTGCCGAATGAAAGCGGCCTTTTCTTCTGACAAAGTCTGTATATGACCAATGTTGGTCAATTTCAAAGGCTCCACTTTTTTTGTTTGATGATACGGCTGGCCGTTGTTTAAAGGGAGCAAGGATTTGATTCCCCTCCTTAGACCAAAAATGGATATGGTAGCGTGGCAAATGGATCTATAACATTATTCGTGTCCTTCCAAGTGTGAAATTGAAAGATAAAATTTATAGTGAAAATGTGGGAATAGAATAATGAGAGAATTACAATTTTAGTAGTTAATAATTAAATTTAAAATTTAATTTAATTGATTCATATAATAATTTTAAAAAATAATATTTAATAAATATAAAATTTAAATTTTAATATATGTAATTCTTTCATCTATTAAATGTTTTATATTAAAAAATTGGTGTGCTTCATATTTAATCACTTCTGTGAAAAATTAAAAAAAAATTAAATTTTATAAGTTATATATTGTATTACAATAATCTTAACCAAACATAAATACAGGAGAGATAATTAAGAACACTAGAGTTGTCCATGTTTTTGAGATTCTTGACAGATTTAGATCAATAATGCAATAAAAATATTATAAATATTGCCAATTAGATACTATAAATTAAATATATATATATATATAATTTTCAGCTTCTTAATTTAACGATTAAAAAAATCTTAAAAAAATACAAAATTAAGATTCGACTCTAATCTTTTTTCATCCCTCCTTAATGTAGAGTTTTGTCTTTATTTGTAACAAAAATATATATATTTAATTAATGTTGCAAATATGCAATTAATAATCAATAATCATCAACTTTTATATACATATAAACATCAACAGCCAATGTCCAATTTAACGAGATTCTAAAGTATCCCAATAAAAAAGCAAAACAAAAGAAAATTCAAAATTACAAAGTACAATCAAAGTAGTTATTTCAAAGGTAATAAAAGGCATAGAAATCTTCCTAAGTGATAGTTAATTTAATTAATTAATTAATGTTAATAGAGATTAAGGGATAAGGTTAGTTCAAGTGTATAAACCTACCTTCCTAAAAGGAACATAAAAAAAGAAAAAAAAAAGGAAAAGAAAGGTAATATTTGATAATTTATAATATAATAAGATAATATAATATAAATATGATATAAAAAATATATAATTTATATAATTTAAAATTTTAATAATTATTATATGTAAATTTAATAAAATAAAAAAAATATATTTTTTATATTTTTATATTAATATAAATTATGATACATAATTTTAATATAAAATTTAATATTTTACTCGATATAGTACCTAAATAATCAAATTTTGAAAAAAAGGAGTGGGCCTATGCCATAATATTTTTAGGCAAGACTTATCCAAACGATAATAATAATCATTTACATCATTTTTTATATAGTACATGGTCCAGGAGCAATGTATCCGATTAGAGACAGAAAAAACAAATTTGAGCAAATTAAAAGAAAGGGAAAGAAAATGAAAGGATGAAAAAGAAATTGATATTTCAATCAACTTACGTCAGACCGACAATTACAACAAGTGGGTAGGCAAAAAGGGCTGTAATTAGACTCGTAACATTTAGCTGCTCTCATCCGGATGACGTCATTTTAAAAAGATTTTTTAGTAAAAATTAAGAGATCATTTATAATTATATTAATTAATTATAACTTAAAATTACGTTAAATTTAGCCAAATTTTATAAGAAATTTATATTTATATATTATGAACTTTATATAATTTTTTTATTATAATTAAACAATTATAAAATTATAATAAAAATAATTATAAGTGAAATGCATGACATAAAAAATTATAAATATTAGATTTAAAATCGAATTAAATTTAATAATTTTAAATATGACTCTATAATGTGATGTAAAAATAATAAAAAATCTAAAAATAATATAGTTTAAAATTTTAATAAATACTATAAATATTTGATAAAAATAAAAATATATATTTTATATTTAACATTTTAACACAAATAATAACATAATGACTTTTATATTTTATATGTATTTACTCCAAAAAATACTATAATTACATAAATTATGAACTGTGACATCCCATTTCAAATCAAAAAATTCTAAAGATATGTTATAATATATAAGTAAAAATTTAAATTTAAATTTGTAAAGTATTTTTTGTAAAATAAATTTGTGAGATTTTTTTATTAAAGTAGACAAAACCTCATAAATTGAGTGTAGATCTCCACAAATGACATCAAAATCATTATTAGTCGGATGAAAATTAAGTGTTATATTATAAGAGTCACATTTTAAATTTTACAAAAATTAAATACTATACAATAAGAATTATCTCTAGAATTTTAACATTTGATATGATCTTTTAATCTGTATGTATTATATATTAAGCTTGCCCAATGTTTGATGTGTTTAATAGATCTATATATTTTGTATTGAATTTTATGAAGACGAAAAATTTTAACGGAAGAGTTTAGGATACTTTAATTTTATATCAAAAAATTTTAAAAATCTATTATAATATATAAATAAAATTTAAACTTAAATTTATAAAATATATTTCGTAAAATAAAATTATGATACTTTTAAATTAAAATAAATAAAATTTCATAAATTGAGTATGAATATTCGCACACACTCAATCCAAACTCCTAAAAATAATTACATAAAACAATTCTCCACATATTCAAAATATTAACCACGTGTCTTGAATGAACTTTCAAAGCAACCCATTCCCTAAGTATTATTATGGATTAAAAAGAAAAATGGGGCTACTGAAGTGCATGTATCTAGTTTCCCTATATAAAGCCCAGTTTCTGTTTAGCACGCAAAGTTTCAGGCTTCTGAACTCCAACATTGCCTCTCTAATCTATTCTTCTTGATAGCCTGAAATTTTTAGATTTCATTGCATAAAAAATTAATAATTTTCGTCATGGAGATGTACCAAAATACAAATGATTCCGATTTAGCTATGCTGGACTCAATTCGGCGACACTTACTCGGCGAGTCATCAGACCTGCGACTCACTACTTCCACTGACTGTACCGCCGCTCCCCCCATGTTTTGCGGAAGCTCAAGCTTTAGCTGCTTGTACCCTTGTTTGACTGAAACCTGGGGTGACCTCCCACTCAAAGAAAACGATCCTGAAGACATGCTCGTTTTCGGGTTCCTCCGAGATGCTCTGACCGTCGGCTGGGCACCATCCGATAACTCTTCCACGAATTTCCCGCCGATTAAACCGGAACCGCAAGAAATTTTAAAAGGGACACCGATGCAAAAAGTGAACTCGGTGCCGGCGACGGTGGTTCCCGTGGTGGTTCCGGCCAGAGGGAAGCATTATCGAGGTGTTAGGCGAAGGCCGTGGGGGAAGTTCGCGGCTGAGATTAGGGACCCGGCTAAAAATGGGGCTCGGGTTTGGTTAGGTACTTTTGAGACAGCCGAGGATGCGGCTTTAGCTTATGATAGAGCAGCTTTTAGGATGCGTGGCTCGAGGGCTTTGTTGAATTTTCCATTGAGGGTGAATTCCGGGGAGCCTGATCCAGTAAGAATAACCTCAAAGAGAGCGTCACCGGAGCGATCTTCATCTTCGTCCTCTAACTCAGAGAATGGATCGCCGAAAAGGAGGAGAAAGGTAACCGCCTCGGCTCCGGTCCTGGCTCAAGCGGAAGTTAAGTATGAAGTTAGATCTAGTACGGATGGCGAACAGCTATTAGTCAGTTAATGTTGACGTGGCAGTATATTAATGTGGGATAGACACATAGCTCTCAGTTTGAGAGATTGTGTTGGCTTTGTGAATACAAAGAATGTGTTACTATTTCATTAAAGTTTTGTTGAATGGGAATTTTATTTTGTTTTTTTTTCCCCTAAAAAAAGGTGTCATATTTTGCTTGGAATAGGCACATTGTAAAGGAAAATGTGAATATTACCATCAAATTTTCTCTTTTTATTTTATTAAATGGGGACTTAGATTTTCATCCTTATAATAAATTTGTCCGACATGAGAAATGCAACGATGAAGTCTAAAGTGCATTCTGAAAATAAACTTTCTAAAAAAGCATTACAAATTAAATAAAGATCAAAACCCTTTTTCAAGATCTTAAAAGAGCCCAAGAGTGGATTTGTCAATTTTAAAATAAATATAATAATATGATATAAAAATAATATAATTTAAAATTTTATAAAAATTATATGTAAATTTAATAAAAATAAAAAATATATTTTACGTTTAACATATTAACATAAATTATAATATAATAATTTTTTACTTTTATATATTTAATATAAATTAAAATTTATATAAATACATAAATTATTAAATGTCCGGTTTCAAAAATAGCTTAAGAACGGAGGATCCTCACAAGCAAAACTCGACTTGATTATTATACTCCGGAAAAATTTATGCTGCAAAGCCAATGAAATGGGCCTGAGATAATGGGAACAGATACAGAGAATGGGTATTTTTAATGGGCCTTTGATAATGGGAAAGGTAACATTGCTACAAAAGAATGCAGGCTACCAAGTCCTAGGCCTGGATTTTGGGCTTTCCTTTAAGTTGGGTTGCTGGTTTTTGTTTCTAGGCTTTCCTTAGTCTGTTCTTGTCTGGTTCTGTTGTTGAGAACTGTAGCATTGGTCGGGCCATGGGCTAGTTGGCCTTCTAATCATGAGGACGAGGTAGTGAAGACTGAAGAGTTGGCCTCCTATTTGTTTGTATAAAGCAGAACAACATGGTACCAACTCATGACTCCTGTTTTCTCAATATATATGCAGTAGAGCATGGCCATGGGAAAACTGACATGAGTTTTGTTCCCCTTGGAGGAGGAAAGATCTTTAGTTATTCCTTTTCCATTTCGAAGATTTTGAGGATCACATATATCTATCTTGACAATATTTTCTTTTCCTCCAAAAGACGAGCCCCTAATATTATTACTGATACAATGATTTGTACAGCAAGCTGCAATTTTTTACTTGATCAATTACAAAGTCATGCTAGAATGTAGTCAATGGTAGTTGTGAATTCATTTATAATATTGCTTTAATCACCAAGCATAATTGCAATGCTTTACCAACCTTGACTTTTGTCATCTGTCATTGTGGCCAACTGGCCATGGATTTTAGTTGCGTGACGCATTTCTTTCTTCTCCCGTCGAAAAGTTTGTCGCTGAACCAAAATTCTTTAATGAGTAGGACATTCATATTTCATCCCAATGACACGTATTCCATCTATCATTTTCTTCTCTTCAAATGCGTTGACAAGGAATAGTTGCCACTTTCCACATCACGTAGATATATTCTGAATGTTACTTGTGAGCATTGATCTTTTGACAGAAGACATGTTCAAATGTTTTAACTTCTGAACTCTTTGACACATGCCAAGGTCACTGTCTATTGCCGTAATTGCAGATGCCATTGACTGGAAACAGCAGCTACATATGTTAATGTTCTCACTGAAAAAGATTCACTAATTGAATTGGGAAAAAAGAGAATGGGTTTTTTCTCCGAGCTCCATTTTTTCTCATTTTCTCTTTCGCTTTTACCTGTTTTTTCTGTGGCTAATGTAACTTTGGGCTCCTCATTGTCCACAACCCATGCTAACTCTCCTTGGCTTTCACCTTCAGAGGAATTTGCTTTTGGATTCCGGCAACTCAACAATTCAAACCTTTTCTTGCTTGCCATATGGTTCGAGAAAATTCCTGATAAAACCATTGTTTGGTATGCAAATGGAAATAACCCAGTGCAAAAAGGATCAAGGGTGGTACTTTCGGCTAGTGGGCTAGTCTTGAACGACCATGAAGGGCAAACAATATGGGAAGCGAAACCAGCTTCAACAGTGTCTTATGCTGCCATGCTTGACTCAGGTAACCTCGTGCTTGCAGCCAGCAATTCTGGTTATGTTTGGGAGAGTTTTAAGAATCCCACAGACACCATTTTGCCTACACAAAAATTGGATTTGGGTAGCGTTCTGTCTTCTCGCCTAACAACAACCAACTTCTCCAGGGGAAGGTTTGAGCTCCATTTTGTGAATGGAAGTCTTCAGCTGAATCCTGTGGCCTGGCCAACTTTATCCCGCTATAAATATTATTATAGCAGCCATACTTATAATATAAATCCTCATGAATCTGGATATCAGCTTGTTTTCAATGAATCAGCAAATATTTACATCGTGAAGACGAATGAAGAAGTCGTTCAAATTCCTTCATGGAGTGCTATAAATCACATGGACGATTACTACTACCGGGCAACACTTGATTTTGATGGAGTTTTCACACAGTATGCTCATCCGAAGAATGCTAGCTCAAACCAGAGCTGGCAGCCTGTGGGATCAATCCCTGAAAACATTTGTCTTGAAATATTCAATGAGCTTGGAAGCGGTGCTTGCGGCTTCAACAGCTACTGCTCAATTCAAAATTGGAGGCCCAGATGTGATTGCCCCCCAGGCTATGTCTTTGTGGATCCAGATAACAGATTTAGTGGATGTAAACCAACTTTCCCACAAGGGTGTGATGTAGATCATGGTTTGAGAGATCCTCAAGAGTTATATGAAATAAGGGAAGTTCGTGACGTCGATTGGCCACTTGGAGACTATGAAAGATTGGCACCTTATAATCAGACAGAGTGTGAAAATTCTTGCTTGCATGACTGCTCTTGTGCTGTTGCGATCTTCGATGGCATGAGATGTTGGAAAAAGAAACTGCCACTCTCGAATGGAAGACTCAGAAGCTCTGGTTTCTCGAGGGTACTTTTCAAAGTAAGGAAAGAAGCTAATCCAGGTTATTGCACAGCAAACTATGACAGAAACAAAGATGAATCAATTCTTTTACGAGCACTTCTTGGAAGCTCTGCATTTTTCAATGTCGTTTTGCTAGTGATATCTCTAATGGTCTCCAAGAGGCACAGAAGAAAAGGAGGAGGGAGTAGTGCCCAAAGTTCAAGTGTTTTTGAGCCAAATTTGAGTCTCTTTACTTATAAGGAACTTGAAGAAGCAACGGATCAGTTCAAGGAAGAACTTGGCAGGGGTTCGTTTGGAATTGTCTATAAAGGTATCCTGAAATCTAGTTCAAGAAAACTTGTCGCAGTCAAAAAATTGGACAGGTTGGCTCAAGAAAGGGAAATGGAATTTAAAACTGAAGTGAGTGCAATTGGTAGAACCCATCACAAGAATCTTGTTGGATTGCTTGGCTTCTGTGAGGAAGGGACTCACAGGCTTTTAGTTTATGAGTTCCTGAGCAATGGCACTTTAGCAAATTATCTCTTTGCACTTACCAGACCTGATTGGAATCAGAGAATCCAGATTGCCTTGAACATTGCAAGAGGACTTGTCTACTTACATGAAGAGTGTGATGTACCTATAATCCACTGTGACATTAAGCCTTATAACATACTTCTAGACGAGCATTTCACTGCAAAGATTTCCGACTTTGGACTGGCAAAATTGTTACTCTCCAATCGGTCTAGAACTCTTACTATGATCAGAGGAACAAAAGGATATGTGGCTCCGGAATGGTTCAAGAACGTATCAATTACGGCTAAAGTGGATGTTTACAGTTTTGGTGTGATGTTATTAGAGATCATTTGCTGCAGAAAAAGCGTGGTGATGGATTCATCAGAAGAAGAAAGAGCAATTCTAACGGATTGGGCTTATGTTTGCTATGTCGAAGGAAGACTAGATTTTCTGGCAAGCGACGATGAGGCAGCCATGGCGGACAAGGACAAACTGCGGAAATGGGTAATGATAGCCCTCTGGTGCATCCAAGATGATCCTGCAAACAGGCCTACGATGAAAATGGTAATGCTAATGCTAGAGGGCTTTGTTGAGGTCCCTTTTCCACCGTATACCTTTCTTCATCAAAATGGATGAGAATTAAACTTTTCTCAATTCGTTTCATTGACTGAATGCATTGTTTATTATTTGCTTTCTATTTTATCATTATTTGGGTTGATAAATCTATGAATAGGAATGAAACTTAGGCAGAACCCATCAAATAGCTGTTGTAACGTACCAAAAGAAAAGGCATGCATAAAACTGGATTACGCAGTTAACTGGAAAAAAAAAAGTAATATATTTGACTACCTTATACTTGATATTTAAATTACATAGCTGCTCAAAATTGAAATTGGGAAACATCAAGATAGTTGACCGTTATCTGCAAAGGACTAAGGTGTGAATTTGAAAGTCGTTCCTGATTGTCATATTTTTCATCGCTTTCAGGACTATTCGGGAAAAGGTTGAAATTTGGTCCAAGGCCTTGAACTTGTTATAAGAAGTTCACGTCTTGTTCTGAAAATAACCTTGAAGAAATGCTATAGCCAAACATACCCAGATTGTAAATTGGATCTGTATTAGGCAATTACACAGGAGATATACTCGGAATATTAGTACTAGATCATTCCTTTGGAAAGTTCACTTGAGTAATCTGTTTATTGAGAAAAACTATTCCACCCGAATGACTGAGTTAGTAAACAACAAATAATATCCCATGACAACCCCAACCATCCTTTCTCTTGGTGGGTGGTGTTACCAATATCATGGTAAGGCACAACACCCGAGTTAAATCCCAAGCTCATCCACCACTTAGACCGTACTACTATAGTGTGAAACACTACCACTGAAGTTGACTCCATCCCTTGAAATTCATCAAGGGACGTAGAGACAGTGGATTGATTTTTTTTTAAGCTTGGAATGAAGATTTTTTAATCATCAAGTACTAACACTGATAAAACTGAATCATGCAGCCACATACAATAAGTTTCTTAACGAGCAGGGTTCTACAATAAATCATCAAATAGGCCTGTTTGCTACGTGGCAACAGATATATCTGTTCGAACTAAGTTGCCCACATGCAGAGGATGAAAGGAGTAAAGAGATATGCTGAATATGTCAAGGTGACTGAATATTTAGAATCTAACAAGTTTGAAGGAAATTGATGCCAACAACTGCCATCTTAAAATCCACCTGAAACTTTCTTCGCAACTGCAATAACATTGAAGTTGAGTGACTCAGGATTTTTCTGGATCATGCCCTTTATGACTTTCGCTGCATCCTGTTGTAAGATAAAAAATTTTAGCAGTTAGTCTAATAGTAGCACATAGTGCAAATGTTTGTCACTGAAAATTATGGAAAATAGCCAGAAGAATGCTGAAACCTGATCATTCACACTAGATTCACAGTCAGAAAAGTCCAATCACAAGGGTGAAACACTCTTCCGATACCAAAATGTTTTGAGCGGTTCAGCTTAGCACAAGCAAACAAAAAAGCAGACAGAGGCAAACTCCACTGAGGGAGTTTGAGATGGATTTTGAAAGCAGAAGCTGACGCTTCAAACCAAAACTTATTCTACTACTTGAAACTCCACAAACCCCGAGCTGAAAGAGATATAGATGAGCTAGCTTCATCCACTTTCAACTTGCTCAAGGCCCAACAGACTTATAAATAAAAATTAAAAAAAAAATCCCCTCTGCAAACACCAAACCACTTCTATTTCTTAAAGGTAAAATATTTCTAGTAAAATGTCTTTTTAACATCCAAATATATGTGAAAAGGAAAATCATAAGAAGAAAATAGATTTAGTTTTAATTGCCAACACAAACCTGCAATAAGCTACTTGGTGAGGAAGCACCATGTGATATCGGTCCTGACTTTCTTCCATCAAGCTCATAAAGTTCCCCTACATTAATGAGAAGAAAAATGATTAAGATTAAATCACCAAAAACAACTACATTTAAGATATTTCAAAAGCATCTCCGACCAAAGCAACAGGCATTGTCTTTTCCTTTCATTTTTGCTTCCTTATATTCCGAAATGAGAGAGAGAGAAAGAGAGAGAGAATATGTACCATCAACACATGTGAAGCAAATAAAATGAGTGTCTACATTGTCAGAAGCCTGTCAAGAAAATTCGGTATAACAGAAAAATAGAAATATATTAGACAAAAAAAAAATCTTTGCACTCTGTCTTGCGAAGACTCATCAATAAAGTAGCTCAGCCTTGCTATACCATATTGCTCACAAAAAACAACCTTGATATGCTATATTGTGCGGATCCGTATCCTATCATAACTTCAAGATCTTATAATTTTACATTAATAGAATCAAGAAAAGAAATTACTTATAATAGATTTACCTCTGTTTCACCAGCTGTAGCCGCCACAGAATGAGCATCTTCCATTTCTCTGTCATTCTCAAGAAATGCTGCACGCTATAGAAGGATACAACAATTTGAAGTCAGCAATGAGGAATCACCAAAACATGCAGGAAAAAACATACACACGTGCATGAAGAGAGTGAGAGAAAGAAGAAGAACCTCCATTGGATCCATGCTTGCAGTAGATTTGAAAAACCTATCTAAAAATGATCCCTCTTCTGAAAAAGACAAGGAAAAAATAGTTATGGATGTGTTTTACATAATAGGCTAAGAACTACTAATACCTTTTGGTTCAGTGCTCTAAGGAAGCATGATCCTAATATGGTATACTTTGCTATAGAAGATCACAATGAAATTCAGTTCCTCATTTTGAGATAGAAAAAGGAATAAATAAAAATGCCCACTCATGGGTACAGCATATGTCTTAATTACCATTCTCCCAACAACTATTATTCCAACTCATGACAGATGCAAGCTGACATATGACAGTTAAACAGATAAATGCAAAAATTATCAAACATTACTAAGTATGGTGTGTGAACATCTTTAACATGAATATTAGAATAAGCATTATTCATTGATAAATGATGAATATTAAACCCAACTTACGAAGCTTGATTTCTGAAGTGATATTTCCAACACTGTGAAGAAGTCCAATTGTTCCACAAGCATTTCCCACAGTTTGTTTCATGAAATAAACTTTACTGCCAGCATCCTACAGCCAAAATATAGGGGAGAAAATTTTTAATTGGACCATACAAAGTTCTAATCATTGTTACCATTCGAAACTACTGAATCTATTCTTTTAGTTTTAGGAAAAACAAAAAGTGGGAATGGAAATTTTTTAACTTCAATTTTGCATTCTCTTAAGAGTGCTTTTCCTTTCCCTGTTCAATTCTACTCCTTGTACTTGGTTATTTGATAAGCTCCATCACCCAATAGAGTAATTAGTCTCATCCACCCAGTAATTCACAATTATGAATTCTACCAACACAAAATATACAAATGTGTGGTTGACAAAGAGCATATCTATAGCACCAAAGAGATCTTTTACACCAAGAAGAGATCACGATCATCTAGCAATCGTAACGCAGAACTATACAAGTTTGCACAATCATAATTTACAATTGTTCTATGGTCTAAACATATCTGATCAATCTTGACAACAGTCTGATGCAAAACACAGAGCTATAGTAGGATATTATATTAAAAAAAGCCATTGCCCTTACTCTTTTCTCATTATCCTGCTGCAATCTCTCTTCTTCGGTCTGAAAACATTCAAAACATAAAAACAGACAACTTTTATTATGTGTATCAGTTAAGTTAATCTTCAAGATACAGCCCAACTAGGCGACTACGAATAATAGAAAGCAATAAAGGTTTCAGTTGAACACACCTGAGATGTTATTGGAAAAAGGAAAAGGACAGCAAAAACAGGCTGAGGGACCATTGCTAAGAGCTCATCCTCCAAGCCATAAACATCGCAGCACTCTGCCTCATCCTCCGGAAGACCCAGACCCCAAAGAAACTGCGGAATACGAATTTTTCCATTTTCAAGGAATTAAAACAAAATATTACTATTACCACAGACTCATAACAGTCAATTTGTTTCAAAACTTAATTTTCTTACAAAAAAAAAAACCCTAACTCTCTATTCAATTGCCGAAACTTAAAAAAAAAAAAAAAAAACCCATGAAAAAGGTTTTTTGTATGTTTCCTTTCTGTTATTTTCCGATCTTTTATCGGGAACCAAACATTATAAGAAATAAATAAAAGAGAAAAAGAAAAGAAAGAAAAGAAAAATGAAAAGCACCTGGTTCATAACATCGGGGTTAGCTTCGAGAGGAAGCCACCGCTTCGCAGAAGGACTTTCGTCTGGAGTTGCCATTTTGCTTTTGCTTTTTCTTTTCCTTTTCTAGGAATTGGATTTTAATTCTTTTGATAGATAGGATTTCAGATCTGTGAGCTTTGGCTCTTCTCTTCTCTGGCTTTATATATAGGTTTTGGATGGGTTTTAAATCTGATAAAAATGACAATGAAAATAAGGAATTTGTTTTTAACCGCACTGTGAAACTGAAACACGGCAGTCAATACTAACCCGTCACTCAAATATTCCCATTTACTTGTGACAATGTAAGCATATAGGCTTGGTCTCTTGAGGGCCCATTACAATCTAATAGGCTCTTGATCAGCCCATTTTTTGGCACCGTTAAGTTGCTCTTTCATTTTTTTCAGGGGTTTTTCCAAAATTGAGTTAGTGAAAAAAATATATAATTATTGTATGCTAATTTATTATGTATAAATAAGTAAAATATCTTCATCTGACCTTGTTTGCATAATTTTATCTATCAAAGATTATGGCAATCCTTCCTCTTTCCATAGGATTTTGTCCAAGGATGATAATAGTAATAAATAAATAAATAATTGTCATTATTTTATTCGTTTATGTCAGATTTTGATAGTTAAATTTGAAAATAAAACGGATTCTAATAAAAAATTTATTATTTGTAATAGATTTGGATAGAATATGAATAGTATTATTTGAATATTCAATATTTAAATTCATTTAAGTTTTAACAAAAAATAACGAATATTCGAATTTAAATTTATTACCTATTTACATATGTAAATTATATAAAATTTTATAATTTTGAAAGGTTTCAAACCTTAATAGGAAACTTTTTTTTTGTTATTAATTAAAAGTAAACTTGAATTTTAAATTATATTTTTATTTATTTTATATTTTAATTAAATTTTAAATAAACAAATTTAGATTTAAATAATTGTACTAAAATTAAACCAATTATTTAAACGAATTTAAATATTATAAATATTAAATAAATTTAAATATAAATATTTAAAAAATAATAAATATTCACTCTGTTAACATCCCTAAATTTTGCCTAATCTTACACAAATAAGGTGATTTAAAATGCGATGTGAATGGAGGATTTAGGGAAAAAGATAAGGCCTCCATTGGCTTAAGAATACTTCTGGCCCATTGGGTTCAAAATTGATATATGACGCTCGCATTCAGAACACAAAATTTATTTAGAATTAATATAAAAAATATTATTTTATCTTTTTATTTTTGAAAGTCGCTAATTATATACAAAGCCATTCACTCATCCAGTTATATGAGCAATTGTTTGACGTAATTTTTATCAGTTATTTGGCCCTTTTCAAATAATAAAAATAATATTGTTAGTACATTTATATAAAATATTGTTATTATTAATTGTCAATTAACATTGTGGTTTTAAATTTCACACTTAGATCAACAATCAAATTACTTTTTTTAAAATAAAAATTGCGGTTATTTAAAAAAATAAATTTAAAATTTAATTTAATTAATATATGTGACATCCAATAAATTTAAAATTTAAATATCAATATTTATAATTTTTCTAATATCTTTCTAGACAAAGGTTTTAATTTTGTGATCTATTCAATTTTTACCAAATTTGCTTCCCCTTGGCTTTTCTATTGATGACAAGAAAAAAAATATGGAAGGACAAAAGAAGGGTAATATACTTTTCTCCTTGAGAAAATTTTTTTAAAATTAAATATGATAATTTTAAAATAATATGATAATATGATATAAAAATAATATAAATAAACGTAAATATTTCCCTCTACTTATAACAATGAAAACATAAAGGCTTCGGCTCTTGATAGGCCCATTATAATCTAATAGGCTCTTGATAAGCCCATTTTCTAGCACCGATAAATTAATTTTCCTTTTATTTAAGGGTTTTTCCAAAATTTAGTAGAAAAATACATAAATATTGTATGTTAATTTATTATGTATAAATAAGTAAAATATCTTCATCCGAGCTTGCTTTCATAATTTTATCTATCAAAGATTATGGCAATCCTTCGTCTTCCCATAGGATTTTCTCCATGGATGATCATGGAAATTAAATAAAAAGATATTCGTTATTATCTAATTTATTTAGGTCAAATTTGGATAATTACAACGAATAATTAATACATTCATATAAAAATATTTTATTATTTTAAATGGATTCAGATAGAATATAGATAATATCCTATGAATATTCAATATTTAATTTTAATGAATATTAATAAATATTCATCTTAAATTTATTATTTGTTTACATGTGTAAAATATATAAAATTTTATAATTTTGAAAGGTTTTGAACCTAAAAAATAATATTTTATTTGTTATTAATTAAGAGTGTATTTAAATCTGAAATTAAATTATTATTTATTTTATATTTTGACAACAATTTTAAATAAACGAATATTTTAATAGATTCGAATATGAATGATGATATTAAATTTAAACAAATATTTAAACAAATTTAAATATGATAAATTTTAAATGAATTTGAATATAAATATTTAAAAATAATAAACATCCACTTCGTTTAGCATCCCTAATTTTTTTCTAATCTCATACAAATAAGTTGATGTAAACTGCAACGTCAATAGATCTTGGATTTACGGAAAAAGATAAGGCCCCATTGGGTTAATTATTGTTACTATTAATTGTAAATTAGCATATTGATTTTAAATTTCACACTTAAATTAACAGTCAAATTACTTTTTCTAAAATTTAAATTCTAAGCAATATTAAAAAAATTGAATTCGAAATTTAACTAAATTAATTCATATAATTATATAACATTAATTAAATTTAAACATTTATAATTTTTTTCCTATATTTAAACACGACCTCTTTTGTAGTGATTTAAAATTTTTTATTAATTTAATAATTAAACTATAAAGTAATGTAGTGATTATAAATTATAATCATTAAATTAACAAAATTTTCATTCTAATTTTTTTTTCCATTTCTTTTGCCAAATAAAGTCTTAATCTCGATATTGACTCTTGAACATATTCGACACAGATCATATATAAAATCAGAAATGACACACAAAATTCTTTTCCACCCTAATTTTCTGTGACCTTTTTTTTATACTACGAAGGACCAAAGAAACTATCTAAAAGCAAGAAAAAATTAAAAAAGACAAAGTAAAAGTCATGTGTACACATTCTATACGGTCTTACTCTTCTCTGAGATTAGTTCGTAATTCATCAAAATACCGCGGCGACCTGCCTATAATCTGTTGGGAAAAAATATTTTAATCTCCCTTTGTTTCCTTTGATAGTAGCAATAGAAATTTTTTTTTTCTTTTTGTTGACTTTTCTACTCATGCCCCACTGTCTGCATACGAACCGTTGGAATTATATCTTCCATTATAGTTGACCAAAACCTTTATATTTCATTGACAAAAATCAGTTTAATTGGTAAAAATAAGAAGTTTCTTTGTCAACAAAGAATTGGATTTTTATAAAGAATATTTCAAAAATAAAATCATAAATGTATTAAGTCAAAAAAAAAAAAAGGGTCATCGTATCAAGAAAAAAAAAAGCAAAATCTGAGGACATTCTTGAAATATTACCAAAAAAAAATCTTATTTTTTAAGTCGAGTAATTTAATTAATATAATTTTTTAAATATTTGAGATCGTTGAAACTTTAAAAGTATTAACAAATGATTTGGACGTGTACAAATATTCTCAAAAAAAATTCAACGCGTTCAGCTCATGTTTCTAAAGCTCGGCTCTCACTTTCAAAATCTAATATGATTTTATATTCATTAATGCAGACTGCTTCCACCTTATAAAAAAAAAAAAAATGCTATAGCTATCGGTATAAATAGCTTAATTTAATACAAAATACCTAATGAGAGCGTCATGCATACCAAAGCATTTTTTTTAAAAATTTTTTTACTTTAAAACATGTAAAACATTGACTAACTTATTCTCATAACTACTAATTCGTGTATTTTTTATATCAAACAAATCAAGTTTAGTTCATACAAAGCCCGCCTGCTGGTTCTTATGCGTGGGTCATGTCATGTATGCATATAATATTTGCTCGTTTTAGCTATATCTTAATCCAAATGCAGTCATTTTCCAAATTTTTTTAGTTAAATTTTGCTTCGCGTTTGTGCTTAATTGTTTAAAAAATTTTATTTTTTAAATGATGCCGCGTGATATCTCTCGCCTTCTTCACCACGCTGGTCGGTGGTCTCGCTGTTGAAAATGATAGGGTTTTTCGCCCCATTTTCGTCTGCTTAAGTCTACATTTTCGTTTGTGTGTGTTCATTTGATTCATCTTTAAGTGTATAAAAGAACAGAGTCTTTCTTTTATGATGTGTTCATATCGTTAAAATTTATTAGTAACTGTTTGACACGATGAGCAAAATTAAGGAATAAATCATTGAAAAGGTCTCAACCCCTAACTTTATCAGTCACTAACAGTTATTTTTACCATGGGTTTCATTGGTAAAGGATTAAATTTTTAATTTTGATAACTTTAATTAAAAAAATAAAAGAGAAACACAAGTTAATATAATCATTCTTTGATATTGATATAAAAAAATCTAACTTATTCATAGATTGGGTATCAAAGAGATGATCGCACTAGTGTTTTATATATGATCCTTTCTTCGGAATATCGACTTTAAATATTATCGTGATTCCGATTCATAAAAAAAAAGCAATGTGATATATATTCATCCAAGAAAAAAATTTTTTTTTCATTTAAAGTTATCAAATATTGAAACGGTCCTATTATTAAAACTAAATTTTTATGAATTATATTGATATATAAAAAGTCGTAATTTAAAAGCAAAAAAAAGAAAAAAATAATTATATGAATTAATTAAGTTTTTAATTAAAAAATTTATGAATTTTATTCTTTAGTAAATGTAAGAAACAAGTTTTGAGTACACGTAATTTCGTCTTGCTCGAGCATTTAGATAATTCTGGATATGCAGTGCCCAATTGTTTGATCAGTAGTTATAATATTAGATTGATCATTAATTTCTAATATTTGACAAGATGATTGTGGAGCAACAATGGGTTTATAACTGTTTAAGTGTATTGCAGATTGAGTTGCCTACATCATCTCGCACCAGCAACAAGCTATGCCTTAACTTTTATAGTGACCCTCCCAACACTGGATTAGGGTGATAATTTTCAGCACCAACATGAAAAATAAACTTTGAAAAACTTATCAGAGCACCAAACACAGTTCAAAATTGATGACTTTTTGTTCTTTGCATTACCTTTTGGGTCTTTCTTGGTTATTTCAAGTTTCAACAAGAAAACTCATTCCAAAATTCATTCTTTTACTGCATCATCCTGGGTAGACAGGAACTTGCTTTAGCCTTAGCTCAGGTTAAATCATTTTCAGCAAATAGCCTGACTTCTTTAATGTTTTGAAAATTAAAAATAGAAAGGAGAATTTATGAGAGATGATTTTCGTAGGGTTTGAAATTATCATAGACAATTTCAAAACTAAAGACAAAAGACCAAAGAATATTTCAATTTTCAAAAATATCAAGCACTCATGCAAGAATGGAATGATCACAATCCAAATGTTAGGAATTCTAAAGGCAATAGTTATTCCAAATTGTCTGAAAAAAAGAAAAAGAAAATAGGGAATTCATAAACCGTTTTTATCATCGAAAAGGTTTGATTTTGAGAGATTTTGATTCAAATATTGATATTGTTGCAGTTCATGGATTCCTTGACTTATAACACCTGCACAGTAGTACATGATTTGCCATGAAAGTCAACCCAAAAACAAAAGTAAAAATTTTGTCAACCAAGCCAACCAAAAGAGAGAAGAGGGCCAAATGGAAAATTGAAAATTCATCAATTCATGGTTCACCATTAGAAAAGGCCAAACCCAAGGGTCCTTTCAGTCATTAACTCCAATACAAAGTTAACCTCCGTTCTCATTGATGGTAGACTTTTCTTGAACCCTGTTGAGCTCAATAGTTAAGCAGAAATGGTCAAATCTTTCACCATCGCTACTCTGTAACCCCCGTTAGTCCAAAAACATCTCATTTTTCAATGTTGCCATTGTTAGACAGCATGGTTCTTTATGTAATTATGAAAAAAGTGTGGGTATTTAGTGGAAATGTCGGTCTATAAATGCTTTGATTGATCCTGTTCGATACCACTTGGTCTTACTTTGCTGTTTGAGCTCTCTCTTTTCTCTTCATTGACTTTTTCTTTGCTCTCCCTCTCTGTTTTCCTGTTTCTCTCCATGCAGATCGGCATCAGCTTCACTCTTCCCGCTCAAAACTTGCAGGTCTTCCCAGCCAGACGGGCAAGCTTCAAGTGCCAGAAATCACCTCTAAACCCTTTAACAAAACCCCATTCATCTTCTCAAAAGCCTGTTTCATTAACATCATCGACTGAGTTGACCCGGCAACACCTCTCCAACCTCGAAAAACTCCTCCAGAAAACCAACCAAGCCGACCCAGAACAAGTTATCAAAGCACCCACTATTGGACCAACCGAAACTAAAGGTAAGGGTTTACTCGAAGGGCTTAACATTGCCAGGATTTGGCCTGAAATGAGAGCCGCTGAAGAGATGTCTCCACGTCATTTAAATAGGCTCCAGAGGCTTTTATCGAAAACCATGGAATATTCTCCGAGGAACAACCTTGGATCTCGTTGGAGAGAATACCACGGTTGCAATGACTGGTCAGGTTTGCTTGACCCGCTTGATGAAAATCTAAGGCGAGAAGTGGTTAGATATGGAGAATTTGTTCAAGCTGCTTACCATGGTTTTCATTCCAAACCTACCATGTCAACAGACGAGGCTCCCTTACCAAGGCACGTGGCGTTGCCTGATAGGTCTTACAAGGTAACCAAGAGCCTTTACGCCACCTCGTCTGTCGGGTTGCCGAAATGGGTAGACGACGTGGCGCCCAATCTTGGGTGGATGACCCAACGGTCTAGTTGGATCGGGTTCGTAGCGGTTTGTGATGACAAGAGGGAGATTCAACGCATGGGAAGGAGAGATATTGTTATTGCTTTACGCGGAACTGCTACGTGCCTGGAATGGTCTGAAAATTTTAGAGCCCAGCTGGTTCAAATCCCTGAATCAGATGACCCAACCCAAAAGGTTGAATGTGGATTCTTGAGCTTGCACAAAACACCTGGCGCTCACGTACCAAGCTTAGCCGAATCAGTGGTTGAAGAAGTGCAAAGGTTGATTGAGATGTACAAAGGTGAGAGCCTTAGCATTACAATCACAGGGCATAGCCTTGGTGCAGCACTATCTCTTTTAGTTGCCGATGAAATAAGTTCATGTGCTCCTCAAGTGCCTCCGATCGCAGTATTTTCTTTCGGAGGTCCCCGAGTTGGTAACAAAGGCTTCGTCGAGCGACTTAATGAAAAAAATGTTAAAGTGTTACGTATTGTTAACAATCAAGATTTGATCACTAGGGTTCCAGGTGTGGTCATTGGCGAAGGATCGGAACAACAACAACAACAACAACAAGACCAACAAGAAAAACAAGGTAATGAAAGTTTTGCAAGAGTGTTCAATATGCTTGAGAACAATAATCCATGGGCATACTCTCATGTCGGAACAGAACTACGAGTCGATACTAAACTGTCGCCCTATCTGAAGCCGAATGCTAATGTGGCATGCTGTCATGATTTGGAGGCTTACCTGCACTTGGTAGATGGATTCTTGTCATCGAATTGCCCGTTTAGGTCAAATGCCAAGAGAAGCTTGGTGAAGTTGCTTCACGATCAAGGATCAAATGTGAAACAATTGTATACTTACAAGGCCTTGAGCTTGAACCTTGAAAGGGATAGGATTAGCATCCCTATGTCTAGTTTGTCTAGTCCATCTAGATAAGGTAATCGTATATTAGTAAATATAACAAAAAAGTTAAGCTTATATTTAGATTCAGATAATAAAAAGGAAAGGAAAGAAAAATAAAAGAAAATAAAAGGAACAGAAAAACCCTCACTTCTAATATAAAAGAAAGGAAAAAAATGAAAACCCAATAATTTTTTATTTCCCTTATAGTTTCAACCTTTTTTCCAAGGAAAAGCTTGGTGGCCGTAATTTCATATGTTATGTTTCTTTGGTAATTTTCATTTCTTTAAGTAATCAAAGTTCAAAGTTTCCAAAGATAAAAAATTTGTCCTATCCAGGATATTCTTTTTGATTAAAGAAAAATTTACATTCTTAATTTTAAAAAGCTAACAACATCTTTCAAATGATAAAGAAATTAAATAATTTATTATTTTTAAAGGAGATCATAGTTTGAGAATAAAAGAAAATTATAAATTTTAAAAATTAAATCTCAAAGTTATTAGATATTAATTTGTAAATATGAATCAACTGAATTAAATTTAAATTTTACTTATTAATACGATTAAATCAAGGTTGATCACAAATGAGAATGAAACAAGTAACCTAAGATGATTTGTTAAATTGTCAAAATATGAAGTCACTGCTTAACCTCTTTAAGTAGAACATAAGCTAGCTGCTACTTTGCAAGTTTTTGCATATAAAGTACAGTTTTATTATTTCCCTTTTTTATTTTAATTTGTGCTTAGGCACGTGAGTCTGAGGTTTTGCCGTCATGGAAAACAATTAGTAATGGTTATTTTATTCATGATTACTTATCTATCGAGGGAGACCCCATTTCCCTTGGTTGAATAGCATCACAAATATAATTACAAAACTAGGCGTATACATGTCAATTGGTTTTGAATATTATTTCCTTTGATCTAAATCTAATAATATTAAATATGATATGATAATACGACATAAATATAAATTAAAAATAAGATATAAAAATAATTTAATTTAAAATTTTACTAATTATTATATATGATTTAATAAAATAAAAAATATATTTTATATTTTAATATTGATATAATTACGTAATTTTTTATAAAATATAATATAAATACATAAATTTTAATATTTTATTATTTTATGCTTTGAGTATCGGAAACTGTAAGATTGGGGATTTGCCATTTAGCCCAATTGGAATGGGCTTGAAACCCAAATGCTTGTTTTGATGGATTAATGTTGCAGACAAAATCATTTCGGTTTGCCCAAATCCTTCATTTTATGGATCTTCATTTTGGGTTTTTTTTTTTTTTTTTTTTTTCAGGTAATTTAATGTTCGATTAATCCAAATCAAAGTAAATGCCCATAAACCTTAAAGTTGATAAAAAATAAAGAAGAAGAAAACAAACAAAATGCGCAAGTTTTAAAATGAACTAGCCCGCATATTAACAAAACCAATAGGGTTTTTAAGATAACCTTTAGGCTTACTCTTATCTCTCTGCCGTATGTTCTAGGGTTTTCTGACGTCTCAAACACCAAACATAGATCTTTTACTTTTTCACTTGTATTCACTTCCATGGCTTTAACCATACTCTAGGCGTCTCTTGGTTTCTGTTTTTTAAGTTAAAACAGACAAGCCAAAGTTTTGAATATCATTTATTCTTTGTGTTAAGAAATGGCAACCAAGAACCCTTTCGATCTCTTGGATGATGATACTGAAGACCCAAGTTTGCTTATTGCTGCTGCTGAGAAGCAGAAGCTTGAAAAGCCTAAGAAAGCTCCTGCTTCGGCCCCAGCTCAGGCTCAGCCGGCTAAGCTTCCCACCAAGCCACCGCCTCCTGCTCTAGCTGGTAACTTTTGTTTCTTCTTGTTTTTTTAATCGGTTTTGATTTTCTGTTTTATTTTGAAGATAACGTCCAAAAAGAAATAAGATTTGTTGGTTTTTGATTTCATGTATTGTTTCGGTAGTTTGGTGGAGTATCTTTGTTGGAATTGGTTGTTGGTTTGATGTTTGGTTGTTTATTGGATTAGAAATGAAGTAAAATAAAAGAAATTTGTGAAGTTTATGAATCTTATTATGTTGTTGGAAATGAAGTAAAAGAAAAGAAATTTGTGAAATTTAATAATTTTTGTCTCTCATTATAACAATTTGTTTCGTGTTTTTATATGAATAAGTCGGTTTTGTGTATTTTTTTTATTTCATGGTATTACTCGTAAGAAATTAGTGTAACTTTATTTTTTATCAATTTCATCCATGCCTCTTATGAAGTTTAAACTTTATTTTGAACTTCACTTATATGGTTAATATGGATGATATGGTCACTGTATTACGCTGGCTGAACTTTGCCTTAGATTTTGTTTATATTTTTTGTTGGTTTATTGACAATCACTTTTAATTACTGAATTGTGGTGTGCTTAATCAGTTATATTGCATTTTTTTTCATGGTTGCCTTGTAATGTAGTGAGAGAGGCAAAGAATGAGCCTGGACGTGGAGGAGGCCATGGTATTGGACGCGGTCGTGGACGTGGTGGCAGCGGTTACAATCGTGATTCCAATGTTAGTGATAGCTCCAATGGATTTTCAAGAGGGTACAGACCCTCTGAAGAGGGAGAAGGAGGGAAGCAGGCTGAAAGGCATGGCTATGGTGGGCCTCGAGGTTCTTTCCGTCGTGGTCGCCATGGTGGTTTTAATGATGGAGAATCTGGAGAAGGGGAACGCCTTCGCAGGCAGTATGATCGCCGTAGTGGGACTGGACGTGGGTTAGTATTTTACTTTATTTGAAATTTCCATTTTCTGTTATCTTTAACCATATATCACATCATTTATCTATCTTTATCCATAACCAGGAATGAGTTCAAGCGTGATGGTGCTGGACGTGGTAATTGGGGTAGTCCTACTGATGAAGTTGCTCCGTGAGTATCTATTTCGCCAATCTCTTGAGCAGCATGCTCAACACATTTCCTTATGTGATATGTTTTATACATATATATTTTTTTGTGTGATGCAAGCTCATCTGTTTATATATCTGCTATTTGGCCAAAATAAGGGAGACTGAAGAAAATGTCCCTGAGAATGAAAAGAATGTGGGCACTGAGAAGCAGCCTGGAGAAGAAGATGCTGTGGATGCCAACAAGGAGAATGCTGCAAATGGAGCTGAGGAGAAGGAGCCTGAAAATAAGGTAATTCTTTGATACATTTAGGTTCTTTGTTTCCTAGAGTTGTGGGTAGCAGATAACAAAATTATTTTTAGTGATTTCCTAATTTTGTTACGCCTTCTTTAATTAGTGATAAGGGAGTAAACAGAATGTGTTTTGATAACTTCCTTGGACTTTAATGGTAGTCTATTAAAATTTCTTCTTTTCTATATTGGGTAACGTGTTGAGTAACTTTACATTCATTAATAGTTTTAATAGTTTTAAAGTGCATAGCATCAGTAGTTGACTGAAATTATAACCCAGGCTGTTCTGGCTCCTATTTATACTAATTAAAAACTCTTTAACTAGGTTATAATTGTTAGATGAATTTATGTTGTTTCTGAAATATTGGGTAAATTTCATCTTCAATAATTAAGAATGGTGGAATTGGCCATGCTTCCTCTTTGATTGATGGAATCAACTTTAGGATGATCAAATAATCAACTTAGGTTGGATTTTGGCTGGCAATAAGTCTTGCTTGATGTTAATGTTCTAATTTTTTATGTGTACTTCTTCTTCCATCTATATTAGGAGATGACTTTGGAAGAATATGAGAGGATTCTTGAGGAGAAGAGGAAAGCTTTGCTTGCCCTCAAGACTGAAGAAAGGAAAGTTGATGTCAAAGAGTTTGAGTCCATGCAACAACTTTCAAATAAGAAGAGCAATGATGACATCTTTATCAAACTGGTAAGATTTCTTTACTTTCTTCTTTTGTTAAATGTGGTTTCATCTATTTAATTTGCTGGTATATTGACTTAGCTTTTGATTGTCAGGGTTCTGAAAAGGACAAGCGCAAAGATGCTGATAAAGAGGAAAAAGTCAAAAAGGTTTGCATATTTTTCTCACATGTTATTGTTGATTAACTGCTTCTTTTGGATGGATGTGGTCTTGCATTTGGCATTTATCTTTTTCTTGGATGCAATCTCACATTTTCTAACTTCCTTGTTTGGTTGTTCTGTATGCATATGCTTTGCGTTGGAACCAAGATTTCCTTGCTTTTTTATTCATTTAGTGATTTGTTTTGTTTAACAAATTATGAATGCATCCCTGGAGTTTGTTGCCTAATTATTGGAATATGCTTCTTCCCTTTCTAAATAAAATCTCGGGTTCCTTTGCATATGGAGTATTGTTCTCTTACCATGTCTAGTCCCCCCTTCTTCTGACAGCCTAATGGCTGACTAGCAACGATGCAAATGAATCTGCTAAATCATTTGAGTGATGTTGTCTTCAAGCTAATTTTCTCTTCCATACAAATTAACTGCAGTAAGTTTGTTATTTTAAGGGTTGGCAACTCCAAAAAATGCCTTGTCTCTATAAGCAGAAAGTTTTTAAGTTCCAAACATAAAGCTTTTGTTTGTCGTCACATATTCATCACCTCTTTGTAAATTTTTCTTGTTGCCATTTAATTGCATAATTATGTGAATTTACCATCTTTTTCATTACTTGATGAATATGGGTAGTATCTTTATCACTGTTACTGGTGCCTGATGTTGTAGCTGTCACATTGTTTGCTTCCCTTATTAAAATTCTGGATGAATGATTGAATGCTGTTTTGGTAGTCTGTCAGCATCAATGAGTTCCTGAAGCCAACTGAAGGGGAGAGGTACTATGGGCCTGGGCGTGGTCGAGGCCGTGGCCGTGGTCCCAGGGGTGGATATGGAGGCAACGTAGCTAGCAATGTGTCAGCCCCCTCAATTGAAGATCCTGGGCACTTCCCCTCTTTGGGTGGCAAGTGAGATCCACCACAGCAAATCTACACGATGGTTTTCCCCTGCTTGGAATTCATTGTGATCTATTCAATAGTCAGGAGTCAAAAACGTTTCCGAGAGGAATCATGAATTTCCTTTATCAGAAACCGTTTACTGTTTTTGAGTGTAAATTTTAGATAATTTGCCCATGGGTCTTCAGACTTATGGTCTTTGCCTGACATGCATGCTTACCTCATTTTTCTTTTCTTTTTTGGGTTAAAATTAGAACACAGACATGGGTAATTGTTATTCCGACTGAGAGTAGTGTCATCAGTTTTGGTTCGGTGTAGGGTTAAAGATGGCCTGTCTGAGACATGGCATTCAAGTTATTTTATCTTTTTAATCTCTATTTATTTGACTGTTTGATGCTTAATGAAAATTGGAGGCTTCAGGGTGGTTTTTTACTAGGCCGCCCTGTGGTGGTGAATAGGGTGGTGTTTTGCCAGGCCTCCTTGAGGTGATGAATAGAGGTAAAATGAATAGAGATAAAATTGATCTAGTTTAAGTGAATACAATAATAAGTTTAAGTGAATACAATAATAAGTTTGAGATCGATTTAAAATTTGATATTTGAAATTTAATTTGAATTTGATAAAATTTTAATTTTTAAGTTTGATATAAATTGAAGAAAAAAAAAGAATTATTTGAGTTTATTTAATTAAATTCGATTAATATATAAATATAAATTTGATTTTTATATTTGATAAAAATTAAATTATTTATATTTGAATTTGAAGTATTTTATTAATTAAAGTATAAAAATATAATTAAATTTGTGAGTTACTTGAATTGGATATAAAAATGTGTTGAGTACAATTTTATAAATAATTGAGTTATTTGAGTTTGATTTGATAATAATTGAGTTGAATTTGAATTTTATTTGAATTGAATATGAATTTTATTCAAATTAAATTTAAAATAGTTGTGAGTGATAGTCTGTCGTTTACAGGAACGACGTCAATCTGGGATTTTCATTCTTCAAGCCTGTAAGTATCGCTGATTACTGCAGCTTTACGATACTAAATCTAACAATCTGTTCGGAAGAAAAGATATTAAGCAGCCATAACCTTTTATGGCTGATATATTTAAAGCATAATCTAAAAAAGAAGATTTTTAGAACTCAAAAGTCAATGCCCAACGATTGAAAATAACGTTGGACTTCTTTTTCATTGCAAGCATGTCAAATGTATCATTGTCTGAGAAGCAAAAGAATCCAGATGCCCTTGCCGTTACTCAAAATTTTTCTTCCAATCAAACACCCTATCACCCCTTTCTCCACTTCCACAATCCAAAACCAAAATGCCAATCCTCCAATTTCCCTTCCCATTTACAGCAAATAACCCACTTGGTTGGTTCCCACCAATAACTTAAACAAGCAAATACTCACCGCCCCTTCTCTTGACAAAGCTCCTCCTTCGGATCAATATTATTACAATGAAATCATTTCGTCCTATAAGATTATCACTTGCTATATTCGGATATAGAAACAGCTTGGTCATTCTTTAATTCAATGCCCTTTAAGGATACCGCTTCTTGTAATACAATGATTTCTGGTTTCACTCAAAAGGGCGCAATGGGGATGCAAGGTAGTTGTTTTTTGCAATGCCGGAGACGAGTAGTGCTAACGTTGAGTGCAATGATTTATGGGCATGTTGAATGTGTGGAATCGGAGTTGGCAGATAAGGGCAATATGTAACTAATAATAAAAACTCTGATTTTCACCAGTATTCCTATTTTGTACAAATGTATTCTTAAAATCAAATACAATTAAAAGAATAGAAATTTAACAGATCGAGCAAAAGACGAGAATAGCAAATCATGTTGAACCATATTCATATCAAAAGCGTTAGATAGAACTAGTTTTACATGCAACAAATAACACAAAAGGACATCATGGGCCCACTAAAACTATTTTCATTTTTAAGAAGAGCAGCAACCAGACTTCTGGTTCACAGGCTGTCCTCGAATCTGCACCGTTGGAGGTCTTGCATTGTTCATGGCTGGTTGGCTTGCCATCCTGCAAACAACCATAAACAGATAAAGAAACAATAAACTCACATAAATGAGGGCCAGTAGAGAAGAAATAAATCCATCTACCATGTATATGTGTTTGCGTTTGAATGTGTCACTTCACCATAAAATGAGGAAAAACATTAGGTAGAGTACGGTACCTATTCTTGATTGAAGCAGCCATAGCCATGAAAGCCTCTTCAACATTAGTAGCACTCTTAGCACTTGTTTCCATGAAAGGAATCCCAATTTCATCAGCAAAAGCCTGTATAAAGAAAATAAGTCACGAGCGATGAAATTCCTAAATTTTTCAATACCTAAAGCTACATAAATTTGCAACACGTGTAATCAGTTTACCTTAGCTGTCTCGTAGGACACAACTTTGTTAGCTGTTAGGTCACACTTGTTCCCAACTAAAAGCTTGTTTACATTTTCACTGGCATAGCGGTCAATTTCATTAAGCCATTGCTTAACATTGTTGAAACTCTCTTGGTCTGTCACATCATATACAACCTGCCAAGAATGTAAGCAGCATGAGTTTAATTTCCTGTATATAGAAATTAAGGGAGGAACAACACAGATAAAATGCAAAATATGGCACTTACTATGATACCGTGAGCCCCACGGTAGTAGCTGCTAGTGATTGTCCTAAATCGTTCTTGGCCAGCGGTGTCCCACTGGCAGAGACAAGAATGGAAAGGCAATCAGCAATCAACAATGATCAAAACAAAAGATACAGTCATGCTTTTTTTTTTTAACTGTATAAATCATATTAAAAAATTCAAAGAATGGAGAGAAAAAAGGATTTAACTTCTAGATAAATAAATTCATAAATTAGAATTGACTAGAAATGTGAGAATGAAAACAACCCATTCAAGCAGGACCAAACTATGGGTGTACCAGAATAGCAGTATGCATTCCAAAAGGTAACTTTGGACATTGGAACCTCAATCAACAAAAGAAATAATAACAAGCCAATTCAAAGACTTACAATTTGGAGTTTGATGGTTTTTCCTTCCTGTTCCACGGTGCGGATTTTCTGCATAAAAGAATACGATTCAAAATTAATTTACCAGTCCCTAAATAAACAAACCAATGCTATAAAAGTACCGAGACAATACTTACAAAGTCAACACCAATGGTACTGATGTAACTCTCCAGATATGAATCATCCTAGTTCCCAAAAATTAAACAAAAATGAGTTTCGAAGCATTAACCTATGTTAACTAAAAGGAGAACAAATCACGAAGCTAAGATCCAAAATCATGAAAATCAAAGAGTGACCAAGAACTCACAGCAAACCTCAAAAGTAGACATGATTTTCCAACACCAGAATCTCCAATAAGCAAAAGCTTAAACAGGTAATCACTGCCATTAACACATACAAACAAAATTCAGAATATATATAAAAAAAATCAAATTTTCAACATATAACCACACATCCAATGTAAGCTCATAAACCAATCACGATTTCACGATTTCAACTTATGTTTTGAAGATATTGACTTTAGAAATATCAACAAAAAATCAATACTCAATTGATTATTTCAACCCTTAACCATTAATTTTCTTGGAAATTTCTTAAATTTCTTCATAAACCGTTAATTTAATAAATCACTAACCTAAAAATTACAAATTTTAAACATAATTATCATTTCTTATCTAACTTATAATGCTATAAAATCAATAAACAGATCTGACAAAAAAAAAAAACCAATCGGATCTGATTCACAAAGCCAATAAAAAAATTAATATAACGAAAGAAACAAAGAAATTTTAGGGAAAATAAATAATATAAGCAGATCCATCGTGAATAAATTAAAAACGATTGATTGAACATAAATTCAACTAAAAGAAACTAAAAAATTAAAGGTTTTTTTTTTTAGATTTAAAAAAAAATCGGAGCTTACTATTCGGGATTCATGATGACGACGAGTTAGAATAAGCTGAATCACGGAAATTGGAGCAGATGACGGAGTAAACGAAAAATTGGAGCTTGCGGAGAGAAATTCCGGTGGTTGATATCGTCGCCGGAGAGAAAGGAGAGTTTTCTTTTGTTACCGTGAGATGGAAGGAGAAATCGAAGAAGCAGAGGGTACGAGTTGCTGTGTTTGTTATAAATAAAGAGCCAAAATTGATGTAATTTTATTTGTTATTTATTTTTGGGGGAAATTGGAGGGGTGACGTAGCAATGGGAAACTACAGAATGCCACGTGCTGTACAGTTGTGTACTGTAAAATTACAAAGTAGGGCATTTTCTGCTTTTTTTTTTTATTTTTTAACCAATCATTTTCTTGGAAAATATTTCAACCAATGCAAATTATTGGCAAGTATTCCCTTCACGAGGAATGATTATATAATGAAAAATTTTGCATCAAATTATAAATTTTGTAAATGTCGTAAGATGACATAGTTTAATATAAAGGAGATCACGGTTTGCATCCAATCAGATTTAATTTAATTTTTTAAAATATTATGTAATATAATAAAATTTTAAATTTTGATTTAAATTTAAATTAAATTTTTATATAATTTGAACTGAATTAAATTTTATGATTCGTTTCTTTTTATTTGTAATTTTTTTTATTTTTAAATATTATTTTAATATAAAATTTTAATATATTTAAATAAATTTTAATATAAAATTATTAATTTTATTTTATAAAAAATTAAAATATATAAAAAAATTAATAAAAATATATTATTCAATTCAATTCAATTTTTTTATTTTTTATTTAAATTTAATCTAAATTTAATATATATTTAATTAAAATTAAATAAAAAAACACTTATCCAAATCAAATTAAATATTATAATTTTAGATTAATTTTTTCGATTTTTTTTCTAACTCCTAAATTTGTATAGTAGTATTTTTCCTGATAATTATTAATTAGTTTTGTCATTTGGCGACACTGGCATTTCCAGCAAAAACCGTCCCATTTCGTGGGGAAGGAACACCGAAGATCTCATTTCTTTGGAATCTCTATCTCTTTCTCTGAATCATAACACAAAAGAATCCAAAGATGCATCGATCATCAAGCAGTTCTAGAGTCTCAAACGAACTCTTCATCAACTCATCATCACCATCCCAATCACAGAGTTCGAATCAACAAAGCTCACAGACTGTTCCCCTGAACCTGCAACAACTGCCCACATGCAATCCCCTCTCACACGCCGCAAAGAAAGAAAGGTCCCGTCTTAGATCTGCCGAGAACTCGATCCACATCATCCCTCTCCTTCTCGTTCTTTGTGCTATCATTCTTTCGTTCTTTGTGCTATCATTCTTTGGTTCTTTTCCAGCCCAGGTTTCCAATATCATCCCTTATTTTTTTCATATATATATATATATTTATATTGTTTGATTGGTTCTGAAAGTTAGTTCATTGTACGATTTATGATCGTCTAAAATCTGGGTATTTGACCATTTTTTATTTGGCTTTTTAACAACTTGTATGTGGGGGTATTAAGTTGGTAAATTGAAGCCTGTTTGATTGTTTTTATTCAGTGAAATGGATAACTTGCATTCATTTTGGTTGAGCAATGAAGGGACCCACAAATAGTTCATAGAGCATGTTAGAATATTGAAAGGCAGTGATTGATAATTAGTCATATTTATATGTTTTATTGATCAAGCAAAGAATAAGAGTGGTTCAACTTTGTGCTTGAAATCGTTTTATTGGTTAGTAAGTTCTTTTAGGTTGTGTTTTGAAATTTTCATTTAAGAGAAAGGATTTGGATTTCAAATATAGTATAAATTGTGTGATAAAGCACATATGTAAATATGATTTTCATTTTCACAATTTTTATAACAAATAAAATCCAAATTCATCTTTCCAAACATAGCGTTAGAGTTTTTTTCCTTACTAATTTTCGGTTGCATACATTAGGTGGATACTTAAAAGTCAGAATTAAGGAAAATTTAAAGTAGGAAAAATCAAAATTTAGACTTTAATGTTATGTTTGATATATTATTTTAAAAACTAAGATTATCAAATTAATTGCAGAATCAAAGGTTTGAAGATTGCTTGCAAAATCAAGAGTCTTCGCCTCTTTGGTGCGAGGAATTTCTTGCTTCAAAATTGGAGCTGGAGGACTTCAATTCCCCACAAAACAACTGGTGTACATAACCTGTGAGATTATCGAAGAATGGGTGTAACTCACTCAGTCACTTGTCCGAATAAATAAGGAGATATTCATTTGCTTCTGAAAAACCACTCTAAATTTTGTAGAATGTAGATGATTTATATTACATATATACTAGATGATAATTTAATGGGCTCACAAGGCAGAAGAGAGCTATTTTCTTTTGGATGATTATGATTGTCATCTTTTACGATACATAAAATGGTTTTTACATTTGGGTTGAATGCTTTAAGTTATCTTGGATTGAAGGGTAACATGACATGAGTGCAATTTTGAGAAACATCTTTTTATTCAATCATGCTGTTCATGCATTTGTTTACCATTAAGATATGAACTTTGATTATTTCCCAACAAGATTTCATCCGAGAAACCTACTCCTTGTCCAGTTCAACCTTTACACCATTCATGGTAATAAGACTTCAGAGCATTTTCTTTGAAATTGGAATAGATTGCATATCTTGAACCTTGTTGTGATACAGTGCTCCTGTCGCAAATATGGTGAATGAGTAGAGGTGCAACACATTTAAGGTGAAGAACCTGCTTGATGCATGTAATGGTCTTCTTTCCTTTGAAGTAATAATGTAGTGTGCTGCATATTTTTGGTTTCTAGAATATGCTGTGTGCTCTTCTTCCCTGAATTCACTTGGTTGTGGGAGGAGTTGTTTCTGGACAATACACCTCTACTTTAGGAGAACCAGAAGCTTCATCAGATGCTCATGGAAGACCTGAAAGATACCAACGGTACCCAAGTAAAATTGAACCTCCATATTCAGAATGGCTTCAATTGCCGAAGGAAACAAAGGAAAAACAGACCGACGAAGCATGAGAAGTAAGCTAAAGACCATTCAAAGTGCTATACCAAAGCTCTTATTTGATAACCTTTCCAACAGGATTTTGAGTTCTGGCTAGGCGTTCCAACATAATAGTGAAGAAGTGCTGTTAACCTTCGAAAGAGGAAACCAAAGTCAATCAAATACCACAAAGCTAACTCATCGGGCTGATTATAAAACAACACACATGATTATGCCAAACAGATGAAAGAGCTACCAAACTAAGATGCAAAGGAATTTAATCTTTTTTTTCCCTTGATGTTCAAGTCCTTGTTATAATTTCCATAGTAACTGATCATTAACGAAACTGAGTTTATTGGGTTATGTGAATCAAATTTCCACTGTGTTGGGTTTTGAAATTGGGTTATCTGCAGTTGTTCTTGACTTTGAAAAACGATTCTCTTTTTTGGAGGAAGATTTACTTTGATGAAAGTTTGTTTTCATTTTTTTTTTTTTTTTGCTTTAAACCAAAGAAGAAAGACTAAAGCGAAGGATTGATATGAAGATTGATGAAGAAAAGATTGGATACCAAAGATGCAAGTCAAAATTTAGTTCTCCTCTTTGGCTTATAAATTCTTTTCTTTTACTTTTTTTTTTAAATTGAATTTTTATTTTTTATTTTTTGTTGAAGTCGTTTTATTTTTCCTATAAAAAAGGAAAAAAAAAACATATCTTCACATGAAGATAAAAAGTCAGTTCTGCCAATAAGTGAATCCCACCCGACTAAACTTTGTCAAATATTGGTTTTGATTTAAATCTTTTTTTAAGGGAGTAAAGATTGATCTATAGAGGTGAATGCAATGGCCATGGCTGCTGGTGACGATAATCCATTGATCTCTATTCATCCCAATGACCTCAAGTTTACTTGTAAGTTTCACATTTTGTATGTTTAACTTGCATCCATGCATGTGAACATGCATGAAGCTAATCTAATATATATGTAGAGTCCAACTGGATGTAGGTGAAAGTTAATGTGATTCAATTCTATGGTTATGTCATGAACTTGGAAAGGGCAAAATATTATGCAAAGGATTGGTGTTGTGTTGAATTTAAATAGGTGATTAGGAGGGATGCATTGAGATGATTATTTTCTGACAAGTTAATGGAATTAGATTTGTGAAGACTATAGTGATTGGGATGTTTATTTATTGCATTCTTTTAGAATTCTTGACTTCATTGTGGTCCCTTGATCTGGAATTGGCAGTCATTGCTGGTGTTTTTAGGATGCTAGCACAGAGCAATTCATCATCCCTTCCAACCAGAACTTGTGTAAATAATGGGCTTTCTTTTTTTCTAAACAAGAAATTGACAATTTTTGTTAAACAAGTATTAAGTTTGGTTGACTTTAGGGCCTTGCTATTCATGTTTTCAGTTGAGCTCGAAAAGGAAATTTTTTGTGATCTTGAAGTGGTGAACAACACGGAGCACCATGTGGCGTTTAAGGTGATGTTTCTGTTACTGTTGCAAATGGATATAAATTTGTTATGCGTATTCTCAATCTGGGATTTTCCAATGATTGTTTGATTTTCATGTTCCCAACTTGCTATCATGATAGGTTAAAACAACTGCCCCTAAGAGGTACTTTGTGCGACCAATCATTGGTGTTGTGCGGCCATGGAATTCCTGTGTCATCAGAGGTATTACTTTTAATCTGATCTTTCCAAACATCTTTTCATTTCTCGTAAAAGAAGAAATTCATGATGGCACCTCTTAAGGGTGGCACTTTCCTCCATTACTTTTCTCTGCTAGTTCACTGAGATTCCCATATGTATGATACTGATTTCATTTACCTGCTTGAATATCAGTCACTCTCCAAGCCCAACGGGAATATCCTCCAGATATGAAATGCAAAGACAAATTTATGATACAGAGTACTATAGTGTCTTCAAGTACTAACATGGATAACCTACCAGCAAATACTGTAAGAATACTGACATGGAGAATAATGTCTTCATTTGACTAAACAAATTTGATTTTTGGAATATGATCTTTTGTCTTTTCATCCAGTTCCACAAGGAAAGGGCTAAGGAGATAGAGGAGTGCAAGCTTAATGTTTTCTTTATCTCTCCTTCCACTATAGGGAATTCAGAAGATGAAGGATTAAAGAGCTCCACAGAACAAAGCCCTGATTCAAACTCTGTGAGTTTAGTTGGTGATCTACCTTTTCTTTGCTGGTTTTGAGTAAAGGTTCAATTGATACCTTATTTTCTGATGCTGTATGATGTTACTCTAGGTTTCTTGTATAACAATATCACTCATCTGCCTTGTGACAAAAGGGAAAAATATGCATGCATTAAACCTTTTGATCAACTATCTGGAATTTGCAATTTGCAGTTTGAATGAAGTAGGCATGTCAAAATTCAAAACTATGTCAGATGCATTTCTTTCACAAGCTGCACATTCTCATTGATTTATGCCATTGATCTTGTCTGATTTATGTGAGCAAATGATTCAAATGTTCTTTTCTGATTTATATGGGCACATGATTTCAGTTCCTTGTAGCCTTGTCTTGCCTATGAACTGCTTATTATGGGATTAAGGACCTTTGTTTTTTTTTAAAAAAAAAAAGGTTAGCTAATGCAAATCATCATGTTATCTTTGCAGTACTTCATTGGTATAAGCTAGCCAATTTGCCTTCTATATACATTTTCTGGTGAAGCTAACTTGAAAATGCTAACCTGGAATCCGATTTCTATGTCTTTTTTTTTTAACATTTCCTTTCTGTATTCATGAATCAGGCTGTGCACTCCCTGAAGGATGAAAGAGATGCAGCAGTTCAGCAAACAATGTGGCTCCAACAAGAACTGGTATTCATGAATCAGGCTGTGCAACCTCTGAAGGATGAAAGAGATGCAGCAGTTCGGAAAACACTGCAGCTGCAACAGGAACTGGTATGCTTTCGCTTCAGATCATATCTTGATCTTCGTTTTCATCACAAGTTGACAACTGCTCCAATAAACTCAAAGACAGACATGCATACACATACACATATACCGTAAAAAAAATAAAGGAGGAGAAAAAAAAACCCGGCTTTGCCGATTTAGAATTTCACCCTTTGGCAAAATTTTAGATTGGCAGTTAATAAAAAAGCAATGTCAAGGTACCATATTAGGTTATTCATCAGAGATTATCTATCTTGAAGTGCTAGATGATTGAACTTCAAACCCAAAAATATTTTAGTGCTGTGATTATAAATAGAATGGATTATGTTTGTTCATTAAAATTTATATGTCATAGTTATCATAAATTCATAATTAATAATGACATTGACTGGTTTTTCTTATCTATTCTGACGTTTATATCCTGAGATCAATAAGAAATAGAACTGGATAAGTAATTTCCCAATCTGAACCAGTAAACTATTATTATCCACATAAATTGTCCAAACTGAGCAAACAGATTGCTGTTATCCACAGAAAGTAGGGCAGATTTACCCCATGATTATATATATATATATATATGTATATATGTATATATGTTTGTTTGTATGTATGTATGTATACTTGTTATGCTTTTCCTGAGGTACAATGTTGTCTTGCAACTCACATCGGCCATGACCATATATATGAAAACAGTCTTGTTTTCCTCAAACAGGATTGTCTGAAGAGGCGAAGAAGATATCGGAGGAATGGATGCGGCTGTTTCTTCACATTCTTATTAAGTGAAAACGTAGACTGAGAGGGATGATGGTTCTGGAAAATAAGTAGGGTCAGTGAAAGAAGCCTGACCGAGTCTGAGTACGTAGCTATAATAACTAGACTAGGTCAAGACTAGGTCAAGTTGTCATTTCTTCACTCTTCATGAAGAAAAGAAGATGTTTTTAGTGCATGCTGCTTCTTACCTATTACTGTTAACTCCTTTAACAGGTACCCAATGCTTTTATCATTAATCTCGTATTATCTTTTCGAAAATTCCTATGGTTGGAGATATGGTGGGGTAACAGGGCACGAACCCCATGTGCACGTCACTTTCATACTCAATTTCGATTTGTCTTTGAGTTTTAGGGCCACCATGGAACCACAAACTATCAGACATCCATTAAGACTCTCTCCCATTAGACTTTTGCACCATTGAAAAACAAGCCCATTCTCCTGTAGTACTCTTAACCAATTTCTCCCACAATCCAAGATCCCAAAGGCAATTCTATTCCCCTTACCAAAACTTAATTACTCCATCTTCTACTCCATACAAGTCTAACTTAACTGCTAGAACCTAACCTTTTCTTCCTCCCAATAGTCATCGGCATCACCCACTCACCACCACCAATGGCACCTATTTGTCTTTTCTATCTACCCCTCAACCAACCCATACTCATCTAACTTTTTGCAAAGAGTGAAGATAAATGGGCTTTAAATGCATATACAGGAAAGTACATTTATGTACTTTTGTGTGTGTGTGCATGAGCCAAGTCCAAATCTCATCCTCCAAGTCTAAACTGTCTCATTTTTGTGTATGTTATTATCAGAGCAACGGCATATATAGTAAAAATCTACTTGTCTAATGTTCTTAAATGATAAAAATAAGTAACTTGATTGAATTCCAGTGAAAAATAGCCATAAAATTAATTAGCCTTTTTCACTTTTTTAAACCTCTCTTTCTCCATTTTGTTTAGCAGAAATTAAGATGGATTGTTATATAGACTCTCTCCTTAGTCCTCAAGGAGCAAGAATCATAAAGTCTCTCTTTATTCGGCTAAAGTCAGATTGTTACGAAAGAGCTGTAACATTCAACGTAAATCTCCAAAAACAGACCACTCACAGATCACAAATGCAGCTCCAAGAATCAACCAGAAGATAGAGAAAATGGAACAGGAAAAAAGAATATACAAATAAATAGGTTAATCTACATAAAGTAAAAAAAAAAAAGACTAAAAATATCTAGACTGTCTTAAACAAAGAGTACTGCCTCTCCTCCAAGCAATGCTAACAAGAGTATGCTGTATTCGCGTGTAGAAGCGGCAAAACTTGGTGAAGACATAACGGGAGGCGTAGCTGGCGCCTCCACAGAGGATCCTGGTCCGCCTGCTACCGCAGGTCCAGGGGGAGAAGCTATAGATGGTGAAGGTGGTGAGCTCATTGATGGACTTGGGGCCACTGGAGTTGATGAAGGGCTAGGAGCCATTGGGGTTATTAATGGGCTTGGAGTGGTTGGGCTTGTTGGAGTCATGGAAGGAGGGCTGGACGTGGTCGGACATTTCTTGCTACTGGACACAAGGATTAACCCGTGTCCCAAAGGAATGTATGTTCTTATGTTGTCAACCACTCCTGGTGAGGCCAGGCATGCAAAGGACAGGATGAAGAGGATATTTTCTCTTTCCTTGTTATTTTAACAAGATAAGGTGAATTTAACAGACATTGTTAATTCCCTGTTTATTCTAAACTAAGGCCAAAATTGTTTATTCCATGAAATAATGAATTGATTCTTAACAATTATCACGCTGCTCTACAATCTTGGAGAAGGGGAGAGTGGAAGAACCTAGTTCCTTGGAGAATCAACTGACATGAGAGGCTAATAAACCAAATAAAAATTCACATATTGTTAACCAATACAAATATTTACTACAAGAAATTAACTGGTGGGTGATAGCAAAATTAATGCTACCAAGATGGATAGTTTTGAATTGTCAAAATGTTTAGATGAGAATGAGAAGACTGAGATACACCCATGGTAACAGTCATTTACTTTTATTCAATCAATTAAAAAGAGGGAGAAAGAAAGGACATTATTCCAAGGAGAATAAACTGAAATGAGAGACTGATAAATCAAACTAATGTTACATATTGCTATCAGTGTGAATATATTACAAAACCAGACTAGCTGATGATAAGTTGCAATCATTGCCATCAAAATTTAGCAAATACATACGCTTCATGTCTGTCAACTCAGAATATTATTTTTAGCACTTCTATCTCTAGTATGTGGTCCAAACCCCCTTAATTTTTATAGCTCCTAGACACAATACCTGATTATCACCTTTGATTGCTTAGAAGGGGTTGGGATCCTGTAGCTGCAAGGAAAAGGTAGAGATCAGACAAGTCCAAAATGATACCATGTTGGAAAAGACTTCTCAGACATGCAACAGACTTTAAACCAATTAAAGAAAATTCTTCCCACATATTATCTTCGGAAACAGAAATTCCATGTATAACACACAAGAATTACCTGTTGGAAAGTGCTTGAGTTTCTTTACCATCTACCTGGTAGTCTTGGAAATCACAAAATAAACTTTACTTAATTCCTATGGCTTCAATTACTATGACAGTTCCAATTTAGTGGATAGCATTTCACCCTCAAATACTACAAAGGAGCAGGTGGCTAGATTTAATTTTAGAAAAATTTAAAAATTGTATCACTCAGTATGCATCTTGCATACATGGTCAGTGCAATAAAATTGCTACCACATTACCTTCAAGGGTTTGCTGTCCATTGGATGATGGAATTGGTTTGTGAGTTTTCTCAGTAATTTCAACTATGACCAAACGTGATAAAAGAAGTGCTGCAATAACAGCACCAACCATTAGCATTATGAAAACTGCATCCCATCCCTTTGTTGAGATAAACCCAGTGAGTAGAGGGCCAAGAGCAGCGCCAACTGATCCAGTGCCATCAATTATGGCAGTCACTGTTGCCAATGCCCGAGAATCCCCTCTGAGAGAACTGTGCGTACCAAGGTCTGCAGAAACTGCAGTTGTGATAAGAGCGTATGGCCCATTTATAAACAAGCCAGCAATCATCATAAGTAAAATGTTGATGGTACGTGAAATATTTCCATATGTGCGGTATAAGAGCATGGAAGGTATCGCAGCAAACATGAAGCTAGCTGCTGTAGTAGCCCGGGCATTAAGTTTATCAGATATGTAGCCAGTAAGGATCCCCCCAAAAATACCTCCTACATCAAACAAGGTAGAGAGATTTCCAGCAGACTTCACAGATACATACTCTCCACCAATTTCTGCAAAACAATGGAATCAATCAAACAATTTCTGCATTTTGTATCTTTTACTATTTATTTCTTTTTTGAAAAAAGAAACCAAAATGAAAACAAACAATTATAAAATATGTAAGAAAAGAAAGAACAGCAAACCTATTTCAGAATCGCAGGAGTTATACTTAAGGATGAATACCAAGTAAACTGTCCCCATAGACTGTGTTTGTCCCACAAAAGTCAAAAGATAAACTTAGATCCTTGATGCTACATCAAAGGGCAGAATAACAGAGAACCTAGATACTTCCCCTATTTATCAATTTTAAATATGTATATTGACCAGAATTAATTTAAAGTCAACTAGACAAACTTTGATACCAAATCAATCCTTTGTGCTGAGGTCTCAAATAAGGAAAACCTATTCGAGTTCATTATGGACTTTCAAATCCCAATACAGCGCTTTGGACCAAATTAACATCTGGTTCTAGATTGATTTTCATTCACTTCTAAATCTAGTATATAATAAATCATTTCTAAAGTTGCAGTCTCTTCTAATTTTTGTCACTCAATGTCTACAACACAGCAAATTCATCTACTAAGATCAGAAGATATTTGAGAAAATAGATGCCAATCAGGCTCTGGGTTGCTTTAACTCCCATCTTGTCAATCAAGCAATGCACAAAGCTTGAAAACAAGAAAAATACCTGTCTGACTCAAATAAAATGGTAACCAGTATAAAAATGTGTAGGCCACGAGCTTTGAAAAGAAGAGGCATAATGCAAATGGAATCACCCCTGGTATCAAAAAAGCTTCAAAAAGTCCAACACCTTTCCTGCTTCCTGACCCTTGTTTGAGACCAGAATTTTTTTCTACAGCCACTGCAGTTCCCCTTTGAATCTGAGCCTCCTCATCATGAGGCACCAAATCTAGCTTCGCAGGTGAAGCATTTGCACCACCAAAACCAATATCCTCTGGATAAGCAGGCAGGAACAAATAAACTAGTATCCCTGATGAAGCAATTAATGCTCCAGGGACAATAAAAGACCATCCCCAACCATAGTCCAAAACAGCAGCAGCAAGAAGAGATCCACTAATATTCCCAACTGAAGTATGCGCATTCCAAACACCCATTATCAAACCCCTTTTCCTTTTTCCAAACCAATTTCCAATCACAGCCACAACTGATGGCCAACCGGTAGCTTGAAATAACCCAGCAGCCATTTGCATCACAAGGTAAAACCAAAAGACATGAACGTTCCAAAAGTATCCCATCCCAAACAGGCCCACAAAAATGCCACTCCCAATCATCCCAGCTGCCAAGAACAACCTAAGGTCCAAAGTATCACCTAAATGCCCAGCAACATACATTCCCAAAGAGTAGCAAGCCAGAAAAGCAACATCAATTTCACCCAATTTTGATGTACCATCAGTTCCATTAAAAGGATACCATCCCTTGTTTTTCGCCCTATTTCTATCAAAACTCCCAAATTCTTCCTTGATGAAGACATTTCCAACAGGCCAAGGGTTTACCTCAGAAGTTTTCATGGGGTCAGGATACAAAACGCTCTTAACTATGCTACTAGGTTTCCTAGAGGCATGATAACTAGCATATGCTATGAAGGTAATCAATAAAACCATGTATCTATATGATTTTAGGCTCCAATCTTTACCTCTAATACTTCTGATAAGCAAAATTGCAGGTGGGGTTTTCCTCATTGTTTTTGAAGTCCTAGACATCTTTCACAAACACACAAATTTAACCACTGAAAACCGACAAAAAAGCCAGCTTTTTCTCACCAATCTTTCATAATCATCATAATCGTAAAGAACCCATGTTCAAACATCAGTAAAAAGCGAAAAGCCTATTACATAAACACAATGTGAATTAACTTGATGGACATATAAAAAACAATAACTTCACCTCACAAAAACAAACCCTTTAATAATCTAATGCAACTGTTAACCTCGATTCATACAAACAAAACTTATTGCAGGAGAGAAGGAGAAAACTTTTGGTTTTTTTAGGGAAAGATAGAGAGGACAGTGAGGGCAAAGCGAGGTTGCCGGGACGAGACAAGAGCTTGTATTAAAACCGCAGACACGTGCTGCTTTTCTGGACCTCAACTGGAAACACATGTATCTAAGCGCCACGTAGGCGATCAAAGCGGGTGTAAAAACTAAATAACCAAGCCGACCCAACCTTTTACATCTCAGGTGTCACCCCAACCGTTCTCTAAAACAGATAAAGGCGCATTGTCCCATCTTCTTCTTTTCTGCTTGCATTTTTTTTTAATTTATTTACAAGAAAGTATTTACATTTAATTTGATTTTTTATATGCACGACATATGATCCAAAGAAACCAAGTACAGTAATTTAATCCAGTAAATAATCTCGGGTCCTCTGCATTTCTGTCTCGTGGTCCTTCTTCATTAACGACTTCCAAGGTTTCAGTTTCTGGGTTTCGTTTGAAAATCCCTGTTGTGTCGAGTTTAAGTTGTTTTGCTAGAAGGGAATTTGTTGTGAGAGCAGAATCTAATCCTGAAGGTGAAGCTAAAGCAAATGAAAATGAAGTTGAAGAAGCCGAAACGAAAGCAGAAGCTGAAGAGGAAGTTGAAGCAGGAGAAGACGAGGTTGAAGAGAAATCCACGGAGCCAAGAAAACCCGGGCTTAAGCTTGGCGATATTATGGGGGTAATTTGGTTAAACCTTTTTTTTTTTTTTTTGAGTTGGTTTGGGAGTTGAGGATGTTGAATTGCTTACTAAAGATAGAACCTTTCACCCAATTTTGAGTAGTTGGGTTGAGTTGTTTGATAAAAGAGCTTAACTTTGCTCAGCTGATTTGATAATCTTTGTTGAAAATGTGTGACTGATTTGTTTTCTATTTAATTTGATGAAACAATTGCTGTTCTGTGACTAGATATTGAATAAAAGAGCAATTGAAGCATCAGAGAAGGAGAGACCAGTTCCAGATTTTAGCACTGGTGATATTGTTGAGATTAAATTGATAATTCACATTTCTCTTCCCATTCTTCCTACTGGATCTTTGTTTCATGCAATTTAGTTGTTTTTCTTACATTTCCTTCATGCGGTTGACTCACAGGAAGTTCCTGAAAGTTGACGTCGGCTGTCTGTGTGCAAAGGTTAGTCATGTCAAAACTGAACGCTGGTATCCACACAACCATTAGAATTCGAAGAACTATTGCTGGCATTGGAGATGAGTTTGTATTCCCTGCGTAAGTGTTTCTTCTATTACCATGCCTAATTGTTTTGATGACCATTTCCTTCATTAGTGGTGGTTGAATTATTCTACCTAATTAAGTAACCAATGTATCATCTTGATTATGAGAAAGATAATGGGGAAGCCAGATAACTAAGAACATGGAATGATTTGCAAAATTGAAATCTTAATGCCATTCATGCTTACTAATATCTATTACAGTGACTTATGTTATTGTTTGGTTTGATTCATTGTAATCCTTCCTAGATTTCTTTGTGATACTAAGATGATTTACCTTCTATAGTATATGTGAAACTAACATTTGTTGCTAATTTGCTATACATATTACTATGATGATTTTACCTTCTTGTTTTCATCAAGCAAGTCATCAAATTCTTGTCAAAGAATTTTTGCAAACTGTTTTAAGCCCATAATCCATGAAATCATGCAGTTATTCGTAATCATTAGACTTCTTGCGATTTCTGTGGTTTTATGGTCTTAGGCGAAGTTTCTCATCATTGGAAAACAACAGAAGTTGAATTTCTTGAATTTATGTTTTGCTCAAACTTTCCATGTGTTAAAATCTACGACATGATATTCGAATCTGTAATAAATTGGAACAAGAATCTTGGATAGCTTATTACCCTAGCTTGATGCTGCATGGAATTAAAATAAAACAAGTCTCCTGGATTTTGATGATGATGACGATCATACTGATGCACTACAGAATCTTTTCTGAAGTCTGTTGAATAGGTTTACTGATCTATGTTTCCTCCATTGTTATTTCAGTTACTCACCGAACATCAAGGAAATTAAAGTAGTCAAACACAGAATGGTCAGGAGGGCGAGGCCACATTATCTACGAGAAAATCTTCCCAGGCTGTGAACTTTCAAGTGAAACACACTGAAAATCCAAGATACAAGGCAAATTTCTTCAACAAAGTGGAAAAATGCTGTTTCTAGCAGAAGTAATGGCAGAATACAATTTTTTCTTGTTAGTATTAAACTTGGATGTATGAAACTGATAGCAAAACACTATTGGAGCCTAACTCAAATGCAGGACTTTTTTTATTATTAATTCAAAATTTAAACCTCTGATATGTTTTTTTTTAATGTATAATATGTAGGATGTTGTAATCATGCACCCCATGTCCCATTTTATATTATCATAATTATGTCTTGAAAAAATTGGATTTTTGTTCTAAGCAAAAGCAAATAGCTGTTATCCCATTTCACTTCTACTTTTGCTTTCATCAATTCATGCGAATCTCTTACCAACCCAGCATGATTTCATCCATGGTAATGACCTAATAATTTTAGTATAATTTTTAATTATTTTAAAAGTGATGTTTAACGAATTTAAAATGAATGGACACTTTCAATTATTGAGAGGTCCTACCCTTTGATCCTCAAATTCAGTTCATGTAACCCAAAAGCCTCTCAAAATTCACGAAAATGAAATTTAAAATACCATTATTTTCTTTTATTTTTCATTTGAAAATATAAACAAAAAGAAAATTCACAAAGAAAATGGCACAGCAGAAAGAGAAACAATTCCTTGAGTGCCACGTCAATGGGTCCCACTCCAGGTTGTTACTTTAGAATCGGGCTTCGCATCTGTTAAATTGACAAGTGTCAACATCCGATCTTCCTCTCTCTCTGTGTGATAGAACCGCCTCTGCCTTCGCCATTCCCAGTAACGGACGTTTACTAGAAGCTCAAAACCACCTTCCTACCATATATCTTTTTTTGCTCTTTCGAGTGAAATAAGATAAAATTTTATTCGGACCAGAAACTCCGACTTTGGTGGCGACTATTTCGGTGACTCATTGTCCCACAGCAAAGAAAAAAAAAAAAGAAAAAAGAAACCTCGGATTTAGACCGAGCGAGTTGCGGTTTGCACCACATGTTAGTTCCTGATTCATGTTAGTTCGGTGATTAATATTAACTAAATTTCTCTCTTGAAAAAACAAAAGTAGAAACTCTGTTGGAGAATTGGGTTTTGAAGACTATTGATTTATTACTCTTTTATTTCTTTGATTTTTTTTAGGTTTGTGAAAGATTGTTGTGGGTTGTTTTTTATTGAATTTTTTTTTTTTAAGAGAGTAAAGATCTCGTGGTGGCAGTGGAAGTGGGGGCCCAGTCATGACTGCTGGTGAGGCTAATCAGTTGATCTCTGTTCATCCCAATGACCTCAAGTTCATTTGTAAGTTCTACCTTTTGTAGTTTTATACTTGCATGCATGCACGTGAATTCTGATGTATGTATGCATGCATGAAACTGTATATGTAGAGTCCCACTGGATGTATGTGAAAATTCATGATTCAATTCTATGGTTATGTCATGAATGGAAAGAGGAAAAATATGGGTGCAAAGAATTGGTGGTGTTGAATTTCAGGTGGTGATTGGGAGGGATGCATTGGAGATGATTATATATGACCAGTTTATGGAATTAGATTTGAGGAGAATATATTGATTTGTATGTTGATTTGTTTTATTTTATTTTTTGCTTCTTCTGTTTTGAATTCTTCATTTGTGTCCCTTGATCTGGAACTGGCAGTCATTGCTGGTGTTTTTCGGATGCTATCACAGACCAATTCACCATCTTCCAGCCAGAATTTGCATAAATAATGTGCAATGGGAATTTAATTTGTGAAGGTTTACATATTGTTCTTTAGAAGATGCAGGGAGAAGGAAAGCAGTTTAGGAATTTTCCTTTTTAGTTTCTTAGTCTTTGTAACATGTTGTCAATGTTTAGCTGCCTTAATTTCTGCTTTTGGCAGCTGCTTTCTTTGTAATCTTAAGATCCTTCTTAGACGTCTCTATGCTCATTTTCTTCAGTATATGTATATTCTTGAAAATTTTGTTAAACAAGTTTTTAGTTGACTTTTGGTTATGAGATTCATGTTTTCAGTTGAGCTTGAAAAGCAAAGTTTTTGTGATCTCAAGATGGTCAACAACACAGAACACCATGTTGCGTTTAAGGTACTGTTTCTTTTGGTGTTGCAAATATTTATGAATATCTTGTTTTGTGTGTTCTTCATCCATTCTGGGATATTCTATGATTGTTTAATTTTGATGTTCCCAACTTGTTATCATGTTAGGTTAAAACAACTTCACCTAAGAAGTACTTTGTGCGACCAAACACCGGTGTTATACAGCCTTGGGACTCATGTGTCATCAGAGGTATTACTTTTAATCTGATCTTTTCAAAAAGAATTTCATTTCTCGTACGGTAGGAAATTCATGATCACATTTGGGTCTAAGAACTGATCTAGCTTGCTTTTTCTGATCGCAAAGTCGGTTTGCCTATCCTGCTTTCCTCCATTACATTGCTCTGTTAGTTCATTGAGATTCTCATATTTATGATACTGATATAATTGACCTGCTTGAATACCAGTCACTCTCCAAGCCCAACGGGAATATCCTCCAGTTATGCAATGCAAAGACAAGTTTCTGCTACAGAGTACTATTGTGCCTCCAAATACTGACGTGGATGATCTACCAGCAGATACCGTAAGAATGCTACCATGGAGAATAATCTTTTCATATTTGACTTCCTTTATCATATTAAAAACAAATTTGATTTTTGGAATGTGATCTTTGTCTTTGCATCTAGTTCAATAAGGAAAGTGCTAAGGAGATAGAGGAGTGCAAGCTTAAAGTTTTCTATATATCTCCTTCCGCTCAAGGAAATTCAGAAGATGAAGGATTAAAGAGCTCCACAGAACAAAGCCCTGATTCAAACTCTGTGAGTTTAGTTGGTGACCTGCTTTTTTGCTGGTTTTGAGTAAAGGTTCACTTGATACCTTTGGTCATACAATTGGAATAGGTGTTGAAATCAGTACCGATGTAGGCAACTGAAAGCTCTCCTAATCTCTTTGTTTTTAATGCTTTTGTTATATCAATTAAGTTCAAGGCCAAAATATTGCTGGTTTTGTTTGTATAATATAATTATTTCTAGTTTTCTGATGCCGTATAACGTTATTCTTGTTTTCTTGTATAACAATATCACTCGTCTGCCTTGTGACCAAAGGGAAAAATGTGCATGCATTAACCTTTTGATTGATTATCTGGAATTTGCAAATCGATTTTGCAGTTTGAGTGAAGTAGGCACGTCAATGTGTGCTTTGCACATACTCATTTCCATTGATCTTGTCTGATTTCTGTGAGCCAATGATTCCAATCTTCTTGAATGATTTATATGAGAACATGATTTCAGTTCCTTTCCTTGTAAGCTGTGTTGTCTACGACGGGCTTATTATCGGATTAAGGACCTTGTTTTTGTTTTGTTTTCTAAAAAAGTTCAGTTAGCTATTGCAATTCATCATTTCAACTTGTATTTGCTGTATTTCATTTTTATATGCCTGCCAATTTGCCTTCTATTTAATTATATTTTCTGGTGGAACTAACTTGAAAATGCAAACCCAGAATCTGATTTCTATGCCATTCATTTTTCTTTCTGTATCCATGAATCAGGCCGTGCAGCAACTGAAGGATGAAAGAGATGCAGCAGTCCGGCAAACACTGCAGCTGCAACAGGAACTGGTATGTTCTTATTTCAGATCGCTCGATCCTAGTTTTCATCACAAGTTGACAACTGCTCCAGTAATAAACTCAATAACATGCATGCGCACTCACATATATACACATACAACAAAAATAAAGAAGGGCTGATTTACTCCCCAATTATATAATAATTTTTTTGTGTATGCATACACATGTTTATGTTCTGAGGTACAGCCTTACAATCCATGAGCCATATGTAAACAAGCTTTTGTTTTCATCAAACAGGATTTTCTGAAGAGGCGAAGACAGCGTCGGAGTGACTCCGGGGGCTTCTCCTTCACATTCGCATCCTTTGTGGGACTGATAGGAATAATGGTTGGCTTTCTGTTGAATCTATCCTTGTCTTCACCTTCGACAGAGTGAATAGACATGTCCTTTACAAGTGTGGAAACAAGCAACTTTGCCGGATGTCCTGTTGGATGGAGAGTCAGCCCACTTCCTTTCCTTCCTGTATATTTGATCTTCGCCATATTATGTCTTTGATCAGCTTGTTTTTCTGAATGTATTTTCGTTCAATTCATAAGATTTTCTGATTGTATTGTCACGTATTCTCACATGACATTTTTTCATTAACATGAAGGTTTATTAAGATATATAAAAGATGGGGGCTTTTTTGAAAATTTGAAATAATTCAGGGACTTATCTAGTATTTTAGCTGAATATGAAGATTTGGATAGAGAGAGATTCCTCAGTTTTTATGCTGCAAATGCATCAAATTTCTTCGTGCATGTTTTTTCTTTTTTTTTTTTGGTTCATAAGAGAGCAAAGCTTTTACAAGGAAGGGATGAAGGATTAAAATATATGTTCACTTACATTCTTCAAAATCTTGTATGTGCTTTAATTGTGTAATTGTACTCATTATTCAACCTAAATTAAACTATGTTTTTTTTTTTTTTTTTACATTGAAAAATTATGAAAAAATAATATTTTATAAATAATTAAAATGGATATATATAAACGTGTTTAAATCGATTCGGAGAAAAAATTACCAATGATGAACAATAATTTCTGGCCATTAAAATAATAAAAAAAAAATCAGAGCTTGAGAGTGACGGCGGCGAAAGTTGTGCCATAAATACAAAGAAGCAACAGAATCAGATCGAGCCAAAAGCATTAGTCAAGCTAAGAAACCGCGAATTTTCCAAACCGTTTGCTTTTTCTTCATTTTTGACTTGCCCCTCGCGTCTAGAATAATGGTACAATTAATAAAATTATTATAATTACCTTTATTTTTATTCTATCTTTTTAAGATGAGAAATTTTCTACTTGTAATTAGTTCTAAATCGTGTATATATATATATATATATTATAATATGCATAATTATCAAATAATAATTATTGATATAAAATAATTTTTAAAATTTCTTATGATAACAGATAAGATATTTATTAATTTTAAATTATTTATAAAAAATATATTTTAAATTTATTAAATTATCTAAAATTTTAAATTTTAATCAAAAATCAATTTAAATTCTAATGAAATTTTTTTTTCTGTACATCACTTCATCTTAATTTAAATTAATTTTAAAATAATTTATTTTTTTAATCTATCTATAAGTAATATGAATATTTAAATTTATTACAATTTTTTAAAATATTATTTAATATCTTTAATTTTTTTATAAATAAATCTCCAGCTTTTAAATATATTTCATAAATAAAATGTAAAATATATATATCAATACTTAAGAAAAATCTTCATTGTTGGAAGTTTTTAGTTATATAATTTTCTCAATGTATCACTTAGCTAAATGTATTTTTTATTATTATTAATTTATTTTTTTATTAGTTTATTCTTACTATATGAACTAAATTATTTTTTTATGATAGGTACAATTTCATTAAACATACTTTTCACTCCATTATGTATTTTTTTTTAAATCAACTGTAATATTTTTTTAAATCAATTTTAAAGCAATTTATTTTTTCAATTTATCTGTAGTTAATATAAGTATTTAAATTTATCATAACTTTTACAAATATTATTTAATATCTTTAATATTTTTAATAAATAATTCTTACATTATCTCTAGCTTTTAAATATATTTCACAAAAAAATATGAAAAAAAATATAAATACCATAATAACTTCAGAAAAGCCCTTATTATTGGTAATTCTTAGTTACATAGTTTTGCCAATGTTTCGTAAAATATATGAGCTAAACGTATTTTTTTATTATTAATTTAATCTCTTTTTTATTAGTCTATTCTGACTATAGAAACTAACATGTTTTTTCTTATAATAGGTAGTATTTTACTAAATATATTATTCATTCCATCAAGTAGGATTTGTTTTTCAAATCAACTATAATATTTCTTTTTTTTTATTTTTTAATTTATAATAAATTTAATTAGAACCCACTTAAGTTAACATAATTTTTTATTATGATTTAAAAACAAATAAGAAAATAAACTCAATAAATTTGTTGCATTTATTTATGCAAATGAAATCACAATGTACAACTAAATAACAAAAAAAAATTTTTAATTATTTTTAAAATCTAGTCAGCCATGTTAGTTACTTTTATGAAATTTGTAGAGTCTACAATTATCAAGTAATTATCTGATTAGATATATGTATTTGAAAAATAAAAGTATAAAGCACCAAAATTTAAATATTGCTATTTGATTAAATATTATTTATAGATAAAATTATTATTTAAATATATTTATGGATTAAAGTTTGTCAAAATTTAAATGAAAAATCAATATAAATATAATGCATCAATGTATACAAAACTACAAAAACACATATATTCTTATATTTTTATCGATATTGTCTGTAAATATTTTATTTTTTTACGGATTCTTTATTCAATCAGGTAATATATTTTATTTTCTAATTAATTATTTATTCAATATTCTCTATTTATATAAAATAAAAATATTGTTTTGATTAATCGATATAATAGAGTTATGTGCTTTAAACAAAAATTTATATACCAGTTGTACAATCAAATAGTGCATAATTTTTCAAGTCATATCTTCATTGTGAAACATGTAATATAATTTTAAATCAAAAAATTATTTTTTATAAAAAATAAAATTAAAAAAATACTTTAAAAATAGTCTTATCAATAATATTGATTTTAAGTTCATCAATATCTTAACTTAAAAAAAATCTTAGAACTATAAAAGATTTCACCTAGGTTTTTAAAAAATAATATATAAATTTTATGATAAGACCAAATGATTTCCTATAACTTTCAGCAGAGTTAAAAAAAAAAATAGTCATAAATTGATGGATTATTTATATTTTACATATGTTCTGAACATAAAAATAATTCAATAATATTAATTATATTTTTATTTAAATTTAAATAAAATAAAAATAATTTATGTATCGTACAAATAGCAAACTAATTTATAATAAATTTAAATTCTAAAAAATGCTTAATTTAATAAAAAAAAAAAATTTACCTTACGGGTAGGGAGAAATTCGTAGATTATTAAAGGGATAATAATATGAAAATGAAGGGCAACTTAACCATATAGAAATTTCCAAAGAAATTATCCGAATCGGGGCCTATAAATAAGGCTATCCACATTGTACGCATGTCCAGTTCGAACCCGTTTCTGTCATCTTCTCTGCGAAATTTTCTTGCGATTTCTGTTATTTTCTTTCTCAACAAACAATGGACGCGTTCTCTTCGTTCTTTGATTCTCAATCGAGAGGCCGATGGAGTTACGATAATCTGAAGAATTTCCACCAGATCTCTCCGATCGTTCAAACTCATCTCAAAAAGGTAACCTTCTCTAAAATTAGGAGTTTGTGAAGGTAACAAGTGTGAATTTCTTTTGAATTTGCCCCTAATCTGTTACCTAGGGTTTTGTACAGTATTTTTGGGTTGATCTCTTGGATTGAATCTTTCTTTTGTTCTGAGAATAAAAAAGAATACAGTTGTCATCTTTATGTGATTCTAACGATTACTACGTTTTTAATTTGCAGGTTTATTTGATCTCTATTAAATATGCTCCTAATTTGTTACCTAGGGTTTTGCGTATTGAATTTTTTGGATGATCTCTTGGCTTGAATCTTTCTTGGGGTTCTGAGACTGAAAAGACTACAATTCTCATCTTTATGTGATTTTAATGCTTATTATGATTCTATCTTTGACTTTAAGACATTAATTTATTTAATTATTCATTATTTCCGAGTTATGTTTTCTTGATTATCTGAAAATAGTGTTTTTAATTTGCAGGTTTATTTGACTCTATGTTGTGCACTGATTGCCTCTGCTTTTGGGGCTTATCTTCATATATTGTGGAACATTGGGGGTTGCCTCACAACATTTGCATGCTTTGGAACCATGATTTGGCTCCTCTCCACTCCTCCTTATCAAGAGGTAATGATTTGATTTCTCGTAATTAATGATACTTCTTTTCCCTTGTTTAGAACTCATCTTTTGTTTTGGTATTGTATATTACGCAGCAAACAAGGGTTTCTCTTCTGTTGACATCTGCAGTGTTTGAAGGGGCTTCAGTTGGTCCTCTAATTGGCTTGGCCATTCATATTGACCCAAGGTATTTCTCCTATAACTATTAAATGATTAACTTTTTTATTATTAATAATAAATACTTAGATTTTGAATCAAGTTAAGAATTATATTCATTTTGTGTTACCTGTGGAGAATATCATATTTACCTAACTGAAATGCAAAGATTGGTATTCAAATCCCTCAACTGTTTTAAAGGTTACGGGTCTGTGGTGGATGATTTTGCTTAATTGCTATTTTACTTTATCATTATCTGGATCTGCAAATCTGATTTGGGTGGGTGACTAAGTGTGTTCTTCCTTTCCACTTGATCAATAAAAAAAAAAAAAAAGAAAAAGAAAATGAATGACTTGTACTTATGGTGTTTTTCTCTATTATACCAGTGTTTTGGTAGCTGCATTTGTGGGAACAGCGTTGGCCTTTGTATGTTTTTCAGGAGCTGCTATGTTAGCAAGGCGCAGAGAATACCTTTACCTTGGTGGTTTTCTTTCATCTGGTGTGTCCATGCTTCTCTGGTTGCATTTTGCTTCCTCTATCTTTGGCGTTTCCACAGCCCTTTTTATGACTGAGGTGAGTGAATGTTAAAACGATCTCTGTTCTCGTAGTACTTGAAAAGCTGCTATTAGCTGTGATTGATATGCCTCATTGTCTTTGATTGTTCTCATAGATCTACCTTGGGCTTTTGGTGTTTGTGGGCTACATGGTAGTGGACACACAAGACATAATTGAAAAGGCACACTTGGGTGACCTGGACTATGTGAAGCATGCCCTTACCCTTTTCACTGATTTTGTTGCTGTATTTATTCGCATTCTGGTAATCATGGTAAGTGAACCTTGTATACCTGATAAAAGCTTCATTCTAATTTTTATAATAACTGACTTGGTATTAACTGTCGTTCTAATATAACTGTACTTGTGTTTCAGTTGAAAAATTCAGCTCAGAAGGGTGAGAAGAAGAGGAAGAAGAGGAGTGACTAAATCTTGAAGCAGTACCTGGGAAGTTTTCTTACTCATCTAGCCTATCTTGAAAAGATGAAGTCAGTCGTGAATACAAGTTGTTTTCTTACTATGTGTACTAAAGCATCACGAATATATACGGATAAGATAGGTCCTGCTGTTTATTTTATTTGAATAATCTTTTACTTGACAACATTTGTTTCAAGTTAATCTGGTTTAAGCCTATTATCCAATTGAGTTCCAGTGACTTAATGAGAGCCATCCCTGTTTCCAAATTTTATCCTCTGGAAATGATACGAGGCTAAGTGGGTGAATGATTGAGGAGTTATTGAAATTCTATACCCACGAAACACTTCTTTCCTCTTAGGTGAATGATGGGTTTTGCATCCAGAGGCATAGACCAATTTTCAGTTCCATGTGGTTCATTTTCACCCCAATTTCTTTACAGGCCTCGTTGCGCAGAGCATCTATAGTGACTCAAAACGGTTTTTTTTCTATGGCGACAATTTCTGCTGACACCTCCTCGTTGCAGAGTCTATTTTGGCTGGAGCATAGCATGCGATGATACTTTTTTCTGCTGGAACTTACAAGTTACCTGAAACAGATTTCTACTTTCTTTTTTTAACTTTTTGGGACTATTAACTGTCTAAAGTAAACTAACAAAATTATTAATCTATACATGCAATATGCATAACATTAAAAAAAATTTGTAATCCGAGCAATATATTATGTTTTTCTAAGTTTAGACCCAAAATAATTTGAGAGAGAAGAACAAATACTGATACATGTCCCCAACCCAATGCAAAAGTGAACAAATCTGATGTTCTCGTAGCCCAAAAATGACTAAGTGACATAAGCCCAATATAAAAAAATTCCATCTACGGTTTTTTGTCCTTACCAGTTACCGTTAATATTTTTTTAGTTTTATCTATTTTTATTTTAAATGTTTAGTTTTAGTTAATCAAAAATTAATATATTTGCTCAAAAAAAGAAGAAAAAGAAAAAAAAAAAAAAACCCACTAGCTAAATTAGTATAAATTGAGAGAATTTGGAAGAAAAGCATTGTTCTATGCGCGTGGAGGCTGGAGCAACTTCGGACGAAAAGCATTTTTACTTGACGCTCGCAAGTTGTAGATCCTAACACCACAAAATCAAAAGTTTGAAACTGGCATCAACTGCCCGCCGCGTAAACCAACATAAGTCTGTTTGAAATCCCAACGCAACCAACCCAGATTGACTTTTATCGCAGATTGGTCGACTATTCGCCTAATTACTCTTTTCTCTCATTCCAAGTGCCGACCTTGACAGGTGCAGTGAGTTCTTTCTCTCCTCTTTTGCCTTTGTTTAATGTAAAAAAAAAAAAAAGATTTCTGTTTGAACTTAAAGTAAATTGATAGGAAAACACTTTTTATTGACAAATCTGATGTGCTGGTTCTTTGTGGATTTAGTGTTTGCTCTCATCTGTATCTTTCGTCTTCATTCAATCGAATTCTTTCTTGGTAACCCAGAAAAAAAAAGGAATATGGAAAACACCTCTTATGACAAAATTGAGTTTGGGTTTTGTGGCATGATGTGAAATTACTATGAAAAGTCTTTGGTAGCAATTTGTAATGGGAATTGATGACAGGTCAAACAATGCCAAAGGTGAAGACAAACCGTGTAAAATATCCTGAAGGATGGGAATTGATTGAGTCAACGCTTCGTGAACTTCAAGCAAAGATGAGAGAAGGTGGTTTTTCTGCATCAAGTATACTGTACTTGATTGTACTTGATTATTGAATCTTCTATTATCGTCTTAATGTGGGGAACTAATTATCAACTCTTTGGACAGCTGAGAATGATCCTCATGAAGGTAAGAGAAAATGTGAGACATTGTGGCCTATTTTCAAAATTGTGCATCAGAAAAGCCGCTATATTTTTTACCTTTACCACCGGCGGAAGGAAATTTCTAAGGAATTGTATGAGTTCTGCTTGGACCAAGGCTATGCTGACCGTAATCTTATTGCAAAATGGAAGAAGGTTTGCCTCTGCTCCTTCTGCATCCTGTTTCCCTAGCATCACTGTCCTCCAATCTGATTTTTGACTTATATGATTAACATATTTGTTTGTTGAGTAATCAGAAGGAAGTCTTGGATTTATAGACAAATGTCAGAAAATGTAGTATCTTTTTGTCTTTCTGGAACTGATGAGGTCACAGATAATTTGGCAAATTGGTGAAGTCATAGAGGCTCATAATATTTGATTATTTACTCAATTATTTTGTACTAAGGGTTGGTTGTTTTGTTCGAGATTTCAAAGGTCATATATAGTGTGATTGTGTGTGTATGGATAGACATACACGTGTATACATTCATATTTTACTCACACTTACATATTCTCTTTTTTCCTTCTCTCTCTTGCTGTCAATCTTTCTGAATCTTTGATTTAATCTTGTACTAGTACATCTGTATGGTTTCTTGTTTTGTTTATTGCAGCCGGGTTACGAACGTTTGTGTTGCTTGAGGTGCATGCAGCCGCGGGATCACAACTTTGCTACAGCCTGTGTCTGCCGTGTGCCCAAACACTTGAGGGAAGAAAAAGTTATTGAATGTGTCCATTGTGGATGTAAAGGCTGTGCAAGCGGAGATTAGACTGCAGTGTAGCTGCTGCACTGCTCATCGATTCCTGTGAATTTTCCTTGTGCTATTGTAGTTCTGTACCTGAATCTTTGCTATGACTAATGCCGTGTCCTGGATTGAGATATATTGGCCGTGGCAACTAACTATAGATGACATAGTGAATTTGACTTGTACTTTCTGCCGTTATGAGGCAAAATAATGTGCTCGGCAACTTTTCTGAAAGAACAATCTGAAGTGATTTGAGACTTATTGTAGCAGTTTGGTGACCTGCGGTTATGTTTGGAACTTGAGTGTGTAACAGGTACCCGTATGTCTATGCAACGGGGACATGTGGCTAGCACATACATGCATGTCGCTTGCAATGAAAAAAGACAAGTCCTTCGTGGGATGCTTTCTGCGTTAGTGCCCCTCACATAGGAGACAAGAAACCAGGTATTGTTTGTTCATGGCTGTACAACCCACTCTCTGACTTCGGCAAATCATTTTGCTAGTTGACTCCTATTTTCATAGCTACTAAATTGAAATTTCTTTCCTTCTTAGGTTAATAGGAGGTATAACAGCATTTACTCTCGAACTTTTTCTTAATACAACTAAAAAATTTAATCTTTAATAAAATTACTTAAATACTTATTAATCAATTATTTTTTATCTTTCACACTCTATTTTGGAAATTTATTTTCGAAAATCTATAAAAAAATTTTAAAATAAATATTCAAAAATTCCTAAAAGTTTTTTAAATCAGATGTTCAGAAAGGCTTAGGAAGTTTTGTAAGATTTCCATAAACCTTTAAGAAGGATGTTTGGAAACCGTAAAATTAGGCAGAGAAATGATGTACCTAAAACAAAATGGCAAAAGTTATAAATATATTCTCGTTTTACACTTAATCATGATTTTTGTGTTTGGGTTGAGTTCAAATATCATAGGATATCTCAACAAGGAAAAGAATTAGAATGTTGGGAAAAAAAAGTTATAAAAGAAAACAAATTAAAATGATGGGATAGGGGCATATTCCGATACAATTTCCTCTATATTCCATCTCAATAATCAATTGACTTAGCAACCCCTAAGTACTCCATCAGGCAGAGAAATGAAGACCCTAAAACAAAATGGCAAAATTTTAATCTATATACATCTAGTTTCTAATTTTAAACTTGATCAAAATTTTTGTGTTTAAATCAAGTTCAAATGATTTTCAAATGTTCAATGCGATTATCACATACATGATTAATATAAAAATCATTGATAAAATGATATGATGAAATGAAAATTTTTTTTCATCGATCGTTTAAATTTAAACGAGTTATAACATATAATCCAATAGCTATTACTAAAAGTTTGAATCATTCTCTCTTTTACCTCATCCTTTTAATATTTAAAAAGCCTCTCTTCACATACGTACGAACCATATATTCTCCCGCCGTCCAACATCAAATCATTTTCTTTTCTTTTTCTTGAGTTATCTTGTGCGTTTGTTTGTAACTTTAAGCCATCATATTCCAACTAACGTATTGAAAGCCTTCATTTGAAACAAAGAAAATGTTGGGCAAGAGTGAGAGGATATGAAGTTGATTGATGGTCTTAAAATGAGACCCATTGTCCCGCTGGGTGGACTTCGACAATGAGTTTGAGTTAATGATTGAAAATTTTTTTTCTCAATTTTAATTTTCGTAAAAAATTGCATCAGGAATTATGATACTAATTGAATCGGAAAAACACATTGACACTGGTGTCATAAAATATAAAATTTTTGAATTTAGATACTATATAATTGGATATTAAATGAATAGATTCAAAAAAACTTTTGCATAACTTCTTCGAATTTTCGGTTAGATCTTGTTTTTGTAGATTGGAATGGATTAGTACCTTTGACTCCTACGATTTGGCAATTATCCAAAGCCACCACCGCCAAAGTGCATGAATTGGTCTCCATGTCCCAATCAATAGCATGACAAATCTCGCCCTAAGAATGTAGTTTGAGAACGAAAGTTCTGATAAATGGCATCGTTTGCTTCAAAAATATACCATCACTTTTGAAACCATTTAATTTTCTACATAGCAATAGAAATGGACTCCTCAAATGTAAAATTCATGGCAGCAGCCTAGCGTAGGTTGAAAAGACAGGCCCATTCTTCATGTGGGCATTCCAGGATGGACCAGGCTGTCCTTGCCATGGGATTATTATTAGTATTGTTATGCTTCAAAAGCAAGAAAATGTCATATCCAAAAGGAATCTACTCATCTTTCCATGGAAGATGGATTCCCTTTCTCAATTTTACTTCGGCAATCTGACCTTTAATGCCTTTGTTTTGTAGCAATATGAAGAAAAAAATTTTGTGGGAAAATGATTTCCTTTTCGTTCTTTACAAAAAATGTTTGATCACAATTGGGTAAACCCCACAAACATGCCTAATCACTTGATCAATGCATGATCTTAAAGATGAGCAGATGGATATCTTCATGAAAAATATAAATAAAATTTGAGTCCTAACTTGTTCTTTGGATCCATTTTCATTTGTCTTATCAATTGCAAATCCTGATCAGAGCCCACATCTATGGTTGGTTGTTTTTCACTTATCTTTTCCATTTGGATTCATAATTTACGTATCAATGGCTCTTTCTATTACACATTTCAATGGTTTTTTAAGTAAAAAGATAGGAAAAAAAAAGTTTGGTTTGGATAGACCGTCACCAAATGAACCTTCAACTGCATCGTACCGTCAATCCAAACATATCCTTAATACAATACTATAGAATTTCTTAACTTTTATCTCTCTTTCATTCCATGACTCTAAAACAGAATTTTCTAATGAAAGCTTTTGGTGAGCATTGTTTGATGGCATGAACCATGTTGCAACAACAAAGGAACCTGTCAAATGGGGGTGGTGGCTCCTTCTAATTAACCTGAGAGGTGGGGTGCCATTGCCTTATGCTGGCCCAATGCTCACCACTCACAATGCTCAACATTGGGACTGGGTGGTTTCTTTCAACACTGATTGCCGATGGTTGGAAATTGTTAATTACTTTTTCAACATTGAGCTCACAGCCACTAAACTCAACTGAATCATCACTTACCATCTTACAGAATTCCTCCCCCCATCAATGAATATCTTAATCTCATTAAAATAATAATAGTACAAAAAATAGGAGACAATCCCCATGTTCCATTACACAAAATTCAAGATCTTATTATGCAGAAACTGAGATCTTATTGAAAAAAACATAAAAGCAAGAAGAGGAAATTGAGGGGATGTAAGGCCAAAACTATATAGTATATTGCTAGAGACATCAAACCACCTAATGTATAGACTTCTTTCTTAAATAATTTAGCTCAAAACAGCACATTAGAGATCCCACCAACTGGCCTCTTACCATGTCTCGTTTTCGGTCTTACATATATTATGCAAATAGTGTTTTATTTTTTTTTTTACCAATGACTTCTCTAATAATTGCATGTATTTTGAGTGATCAATTCAATTCAAAATGGTTGTTCGTATAATATAAAAATTAAACTAAGATTTAATTGATGAAAGATTATTTTAATTACAAAAACTAGGGGTAAGCAATGTGTTGATTCAGTAGGTTTCGTTTAAAAAAATTAATAATCAAATTAATTGATTTTTATTTAATAAATAACTAAACAGATAAAAAAATTTTAAATAATCGATCATAATCGAATTAATCAAAATTTATTGGTTTGGTTAAATAATTAAAATTTTCATCATTTTTTTAATTTATTATAAATAATTATTTAATTATAAATTAAATTTAATAAAATTCAAACTCAAGTATCATTCAAATCAAATTATTAAAAAATTTAATTATTTCAACAATATTTTACAAGAAAAAAATAAAAATACTGATATCAATTTTTTTACTTTTACTTATTAAAAATTAATTAATTCGATCGATTCAATTATCAATTTTAAAAATAAAAAATTGATCAAATTAATCAATTTAATCGATCCAATAAAATGATTATAATTAAAATTAAATAAACCGAACCAAATTAATTAAATTTACTTTATTTTTATTAATCTAATCAGTACAAACCAATTTTTGCTCATTTTTAACAAAAACTCAACTCCAACATGATAATAACAAATAATTTATGGTAGAAAATGCATAATATGATTTTAATTATGCCTGATCTGTGCCTAATTATTATCTTAATTATTATTATTTTTATACAAATTAAATACATAAATTAATCATAAAACAACTGAACTAAACTCGGATTGAATTAACCTCACTTTTGTTTGTAGTGCTAATGACAACACTGTAAACACCATCACATTTTAACACTTTTTTGACGTACCAACCTAAATATTTTAGCAATGAAAACAACGGAGAAGTTGGTGAAGGGATGATATGGGAATTTCAGTAAAAAAAAAATCCAATAAGGGATAAATCTGGAAATTTAACATAGCTTTTCCATTTAGGAAAAAAAAATTGAAATTAGTTCATTGATTACACCGTAGTTTAGATCAGGTTCCTCTGCCCTCTTAAAGGTGGCTTCTGTTAATAAAAACTCGATTAAATTAAGGATTGATAGGCTTCCTGTGTGTCAGCACGTGGCTGCAATCATGTACCGTAGTGCTACTTTTTACACGTGGCATTTCATCATATATCAAGCATTTGGGCCCACAAATCGCATTACTTGTATTATATATACCTATAATAATCTTTTATTTTTATTTTATTTTTTGAAAACAAAATTTTGTTAAAAAAAAAAGTAAAAACCAAAAATTTTTTAGAAGAAAATTTTTAATTTCTTTTTTGGGTTAATATGTATTTTGATTTTTAAATTATACCACTTTTTATAATATAGTACTTAAAGAAAAAATTTACGATTTAATATCTAAATTTATATTTCATCAAATACTTTACATTGAATCTTAAATCTGTTAATAAAAAAAAAATGACGTGTCTTGATTACAAGTCTAATAAGCAAGTTACGTCATATTGAGCCCACATGTCATCTTAGCAAAGACAACTGTCAACAATGATGAAGTTTATAGGCTTATGAATAACCTAAAAATTTAGAAAGAAAAAATGAAAATGTGTAAGGAAATGTTGTCAATGTGTAAAATTTGTGTATAAGGTTGGATTAGTGGTTTCGTAGTTAATTTTTTTGGTTTATTATTATTATTATTATTATTTTCTATAGATGTAATTCATTCAAACCAATGAATGAATGGGTTATGTTTGTTTCTCCATTGAATGAATGAAATTTTACGTGATGAAATCAATTGAATGGGTGCATTGTTAATTCATAATCAAAGAATACATATTGTAATGACAAATTCATAGATAAATAATAAATATCAGTTTGATCAACATTGTATAAGATAAAAAATCAAGATCGACGGTCCATTCATTGACATACCCACCAATGTGTTAGAACATAAGATTTTCGATAAAATTATCACCTAGGTGCATAAATAAAAATTGCTTTAACCATGTCATTTTCTTATAACGTAATAATAATACAAAAATAAAATATAATATTACAATCTCTTACTTTTATAATCCAATATCAAAATATTAAAATTACAAATGAGACTCAAAACCCAACATAAAATGATAATGCCTCTACTACAATATAAAATATATAAAATTATACCTACTTATTTAGATCACATGACACTTGGCACTAATTTATTAGGCGAAAGAACATATCATCTTTTATCATTAACGGAATTAGGATTTAGTGCAAAATATTTGACGGAATATAAATTTAATTATTAAATCGTAAATTTTTTATCTTCAAATATCATATCATACAAAGTAAATTAGTTCAGGGACCAAAGTGCATATTAACCTTTTTTTTTTTCCAGACTTTGTATTTGAACTTTTGCTTTTAACAAAGAGTCACTGCCTCCGTTAATCAATCCCCTTTAGATCTAATCATCTAACTAAAACACAAAGCTAATTAAAAAAAATTCATTAAGTGGGACCCAGTTAACAATGATTTTAATTTAATCGAACGGTGTACAATGAATTCTGACAGTGATCATCACGCGGGACGGTGGAAATTAGGTTCATTTTTTTATTAAAGAAAAAATCCCACTAAAAAATTCATTAACATGTCATCACATTCACATACACAAGAATAGAAATAAATAAATAAATAACATACTTAAATTATCAAAATATACACGTAAAAAAAAAGGAAAAAAAAGTCATGCAAATTTTTTTCTCTTTTTTTTTTTGTATTTTTTAACAAAATAAATTGTAATTAGAAAATAAATAAAAAAATTATAGATATTAAAATTTTTATTCAAATTTCAAAATAAAAAATTTTTAAACCATAATTTATTTGCAAAATTTTATTTTTATGTTTTTTTTTTTTATAGAAATCAACAAACCTGAAAAGTCTATAGTCAAAAGCAAATATGCAATAATATTCCTTTATCCTTGTTTGAATATTTTTCATTTTTAGCTATTAGTATACTATTTTTTAATCTTTTAACTAGTGGAAATTTTTTTATCAATTAAAAACTGTAAATATAAATAAATAAATGCAAAAGAAAGCTGAACATTTTTACTTGAGAATATACATAATAAATAAAGTGAAGAGGCCATGTAAAACGCACAAACACAAAACACAACACTCTATCTTTCTCTTTCTCTTTCTCTTTCCTCACATTTCACCTTCCTCTTTTCACAGCCGTTTATTAGATTCCTCTCAAATAGTCTTTTCCTTTTATTTTCTTTCCATTGGGTTGTACGGATTCCCAGCTCAAATACCCATCTCTTAGATTTTTCATTTCTTCTAGATTTTATGGCATGTTTTTGTTGCTATTTTGATTTATGTTTCTTAGACTGATAAAAAAAAGATATAAAACTCTTCTGGGTTCATTTTTAGCTTTTGTTTTGTTCTGCAAGTTAAGCTGGCTTTTGGGTTGTTGCAGAAAACCTTGAATACCCAATTGAATATGTTATATAAAGGTTGAAGAAGCCAATCAAATTTATAGAAAAAGTTCTCAATTTTCAGTCAAAGTTTTTGTAAATAGTAAAGTTTTCTTATTTTCTCTAATTTGTTGCTGTCAAAATTTTTTATTTCTTTTTTAATTTTCTTTTTCTTCCCTTGAACAAAAGAGAAAGACATGGGCAAGCAAGGGCCTTGCTATCACTGTGGAGTTACAAGTGAGTTCTTGTTTCTCCAGTTAACTTTTTGGATATAAAGTTTAAAAAAGAAAAAGAATTTTGAGTTCTAGGATGTATGTAAATGTTCAACATTTTTCTATAAATCAGTATTTTTGGTGCATGATTTTATATGCTTGGATGAATAATTCTATTATTGGAATTTGAAGGGGGAATAGCTGTATGCAGAAAAGGAGCAGATTAAATGGACAACTATAATAAATTTTAGAATATATACTGTTCTTTGTGTTATTCTGTTTGTATATGGATTTAGAACAACAGGTGTCCTTTTGTGAATTCATGTAAAGCTTTGAACTTGAGTGTGTATTGAATTCAGTTGTTTCTTTCATTCTCACTCATTTCTCAGCCTTATTATCCTTGGGGTTGATCTTCTTTGACTCTTGTTCAAAGTTACAGTATATCTCACAGGGCAAAGTGAGATTGAATTCTAATGGATACTGGGGAATTGCAGAGCCTATGTTGTTGAATTCTGGCAGTTTCAGATTCAACATTAAATTGGTATTGCTTTCCCATTGCCCCATATATATTTATAAGCCTGAATATCAAGTCAAACCTCAGTTCTCATCGATGCAATTGAAATCTATTTTCTTGCAACATCATTGTTTTGACTCCTTTATCAATGCACTTTCCATTGAGTTCTTGATGAATTTCTTGCACATTCTCTCTTTTTCAATAAGCTCTTGTTTAAAATTCAATGCTAATGAGCAAGTACTCTCATGTTTGCTCTAAACATTTTTTTGGTCATTGTTGATGATAATTGTCGATCTCTATTGGACTCATTCCAATGTAAACCACTTTTCAAGAACTGCACTCCTATTTATTTTAAACCATTGTTTTATTCTCTTTCTGTTCTGGATAATGTTCAATTCCATTTTGAAGTTCATTGTTTTGCCTCTTAAGCTTTTGAAAAGGTTCAACCTCATAAGTATCACTTGCATTTAAACACTCTGAATGACTTCTGAATGTCAAATTCATTGCACCATTCTTCAAAATTTTGAAGTGTTTAATAGTCTTAGAACTTGGTGTGTTTGCACCCATTAATGCAATTCAACTTATTTCAGCTGTATTCTAATTTTGCTGGTCATTGATAGGAGTGTAAATTTGTGTCAAGTGCAAGTGTTAAAGGAAGCTCCGATTGTCCTTGTTTGCCCGCTGGAGGGAAGAGCATCAATCCAGAATTGTTTTAGGAATTGCTTCCAACATTAAGCACTTAAAAATGGTGTTGTTAAATGTCAGCTTTTGAGGACAAATGCAAGTTCCTTTTGACTTTGGTTCTGACTCAAGTCTGCCCTTGATAGGCTAAAGATGTCTATCGGCCATATTTTGAATAAGATTTATCTTATGGTGTTTTACTCTTAGAACTTGGCCAGTAATACTTTGAAGAAGGTTTTGACCCTTTAAAATATTTATAAAATTTGGTTAAGGGCTCTTATCATAAGCATATATAAATTACAAATTATAATATCTTTTTCCTAAATCAGTCTATACTTACTAACAACAAAGCATTGTGATAGGCACTCCTCTTTGGCGCAATGGACCTCTTGAGAAGCCGGTATTGTGCAATGCTTGTGGGTCGCGGTGGAGGACTAAAGGGACACTTGACAACTATATCCCACTTCATGCACGGTTTGAACCTGATGATTATGAGGATCATAGGGCTTCCAGAATGAAGAGCATATCTATAAATAAGAACAAAGAAGTAAAACTGCTGAAGAGAAAGCCAAATCATGATACAGCAGTAGTTTCCCCTGATTACAACCAGGGTTTCTGTAAGTTTGTGGATGAAGATACAAGTAATAGATCAAGTTCTGGATCAGCCATATCTAATTCTGAAAGCTGTGCCCAATTTGGCAGTGCAGATGCTAGTGACTTGACAGGTTGGACACAATGTCATCAGTGTTTCTCATTGCTGTTTTGACCGTATGAGACTAAATTGCGTTTTTTAAAAAATAGGAAAGAGACCTAGTGGAACATATACTAAATTCAATGGAATGTCGCAGTCCATCTTGCAAACTCATTGGAGATTCATGAGTGCCATCCTTGGCATAAAAAAATGGTTGTATATCTTCCTAAAAATATAATCATTATGGTTTAGTACTGCATGATGCACATGCTTTTTCCCAATGAACAACTGAAGCATCTTTGAGATAACTAAATTAAACTGTAGTTGTAAGTGGAATCAATGTGTTTGACAACGTGATTCAGATTATACCTGTTGTTATTATATTAAATTCTCCTTTGGTGATTCATCTTCTGCATCCTCAGATTTTATCTTCATTACCAGCTTGATCTTGGCTGATGCCAGTAGCTTCATTCTACTTGAATGTTCGTAGTTTAAGAATGGTCTGAATACTGATTTAAGTTGTCTTCTCTTTTATCTTTGCTCCAGGCCCTGCTCAATCTAATGTGTGGGACTCAATGGTACCTTCTAAGAAAAGAACCTTCGTAAATCGTCCCAAGCCATCTCCAGTTGAGAAACTTACAAAAGATTTATATACTATTTTACATGAACAACAGTCTTCATATTTCTCTGGATCTTCTGAGGAGGATTTGCTTCTTGAGAGTGAAACACCCATGGTTTCTGTTGAGATTGGACATGGAAGTGTTCTAATTAGACATCCAAGCTCAATAGCTCGAGAAGAGGAATCAGAAGCCAGCTCCCTTTCAGTTGAAAACAAACAATATTCAATGAACGAGTCTTATTCACATTCTTCAAACTTCCCTGCCTATAATGATAGCAAGGGCATCAAAATTTCAGGACATGGAATTGAAAAAGCTAAGACTGCTGGACAAGGGATGCAGCACGAGCAACTTAAGAGGTAAATCTTTTCACTGTAATATTTTACAAGTTGCAACAGAATCTGCCTGTTATGAAACTAGCAGTGGTGTGTATCATGTGGTTTTTTAACTTGGATATTGTGAAATTTTACCATGGCCACTCAGAAAGGTTAAGATAAATATATATGTGGGAGTAGAGAAGGTACATTTCCTACAAAAATGCAAGGCATGGAATTTATCTCAAAAGCTCCAAGTATAATGTCTTCGACCATGCAGTTTTTCAGGAAGACTCTTTGGTATCTAGTGTCATTGACTCATGAGTCATGGGCCATAGGATAAACTTATAGCTGCTGTGGAATGGGAGGAGAAATTGGAGAATGATGCTTTCATGTTGATTAATATTTCTTTATTCTTTTTGACATTTGTCAGGGACAAGGTTCAACATGAAAAATCACTAATGCTGGAAAGTCATAATTCACCACTGTGTAAAATAGATTTGAATGTAAGTTTCCCTTGTTTCTTTTTTCTTTATTTTGTTTTTCTTTGGGAAAAGTCATTAGAACTCAATTCTATGGCTGCTATATTGTAAAAAATCTCAATTGAGCACTAGGAGGAACCTGTAATTTTGTATGCATTTAATGACTCTGGATGTTTCACAAATCTTTTACATGATTCCTCCATCTTAAGCAAAATGTTGAGTTACCATGAACAAATCACATCACAGCACATATGTTCATTCTCCATTATGTGGTGATATTTTTGTGTGGTGCAGGATATTCTCAACTTTGAGGAGTATGTGAAACATTTAACAAATGAGGAGCAGCAGCAGTTGCTGCAGTATCTACCTCCACTTGACATTGTCAAACTCCCTGATAGGTATCTTTTTTACTTTTTTATCAAGAGAGGGAAAATAACATCTTTCTAGTTCATGTTTTGTGTATAATGGAATGCATTCACTGATAATAATCCTGTTTTTATTTCGATAGTTTCTGATGCACGTATAGTGGAAATTAGATAATTAACGAAAAGAAAATGTGAAAAAACCAGTAATTGTTATCGTTTACCTAAAGAGACAGCCAATAGTTGAAACAAGATGTGTAATCACTCATAGTTGTCCTTGCACCTGCAGCCTCAAAAGCTTGTTTGCAAGCCCTCAATTCAAGGAGAACTTATATTACTTTCAACAACTGCTTGAGGAAGGGGTCTTTAATATCTCTGTCCCAGGGGTGAAAGCTGAAGACTGTAAGACTTTGAAAAGACTTGCATTATTCAATTTGACGAAATCTCACTGGGTGGAATGCCGTCACGTGCTTAAGGTTTGAATTGGTTTCTTAAATAGGGATATCTTGATATAAACTTGTTGACAATGAACTTAATTTGCTCATTGGATGCTTCAGTATTTTAGCATTTCTTTGGCTGCAGAAATGCAAAAGTAGTGTTGGAGGGTCTGTGATTGCTAGAGGACCAATTGCCATTGCATCGAATAATTTGGTAATTATGAAGAGATCACGTGACAGCCAAAGTCAAAATTTTCCAGGTTCGAAAATTTTCTCTGCTGTTATTGCTCCGTATGAAATAAATCTTTATAAAGTATGTTAAAAATTAGATGGTGACATTGAATTTTAAAGTGAAAATAACTCAACTAAGGTTTAATGGCAAGGAAAAGAAATAAGGTTAATAACATGAAACCATATGAAGAAAATTTCTCTGTAACTGAATAAATTTCACCTTTGAGAGTTAATCTTGTGAGCTGTTGCAAGGCATTTTGCTCAAGAAAAACATGTTTTTCATTTTTCAGAAGCAAGAACATTAAAGAGCCCCAAAAGGGTGATCATGAAGGCTACTTATGAAAACAAAGAACTCATAGACAATGATGGTTCTTGCTTTAGTCCGAGAAGCCTATTCGCCTTGCCTCCTGATGGTGGCTCTCTCATGCTGGATTCTCTCCATTTTGTCGATGAAAGTTCTGACCAAGATTTGCTGCTGGATGTGCCACCCAACGGCTCATTCCCACAGGCAGAAACTGCTTCATTCGACTTTAAGTTTTAGGCAACATGCCAGCACTAGTATTAGCTCAGCACACCCACATCTTGTCGATCCCTAGCAATGATTGGTCGTTACTAGAACTATAAAGGTCTCCTTCTGCAAGATCCCCTGAGTGGGGTCAACATATTTGCATGCCAAACACCGAATCTGAATGAGTTTTGATGGTTGCTCTTTTTTCCACTTGACCTGTTCAAACTTGGAATGCTAAGTGATGAATTTGGGGGTGGGGTTTTTTTGTATAGGTTGACAACAGATTGTAATATATAGCTCCAAATATGCAGAAGAGGTGGTTATTTGAAGAGTTTTGTATGGAAATGTAATTCTTGCATAGAAACATAAGTTTATATACCCATGGGTCCATTTAAAGTACTTCATCCCCTTTATGGGATGCATCATGCATGCAAAGGAATCACCGTCTAGCCTTTTTTGGTTCCTTTTGGAGGATACTGGATACTTGATAAGAATGTCATTCAAGCAATCACCCTATGATAAGAATAGGGGGGAGAAGGTATAAAGGAGTGTCTTTGAAGCAGTCGCTTTAGAATATGAATATGTGATGGAAACCAGAATTTAAGAGGAAAATCTGACTAGTTTTGCACAACGCTATTCCATTTGAAGAGTAGTGTGCATGACCAGCTGGTCATTCTAGAAAATCGATGGAAAAGGCAACCCCTACCGTTGGAGCTAGGTAGCTTGTCAAACTAATGGAGGTTCATTCGTGGACCACAGGAACAAAGTGGAAGATACTAGGTAAGTTAGAAATGCCCATTGGCTTTCAAACATGAAGGGTGTTTGAAAGTTGTTGTTTATGGATGCCTACAACTTCTAAATCGTGTTCCTAGTTGTGTGAATTGCCCACTAATAACTGAAAGCTAAATTTGGAGAAAGCAGCAACCGTGGCTCATAGGCTTAGCCAAGGGGATGAAAGGCACCCATGAACCAAATGAAAATACATGACATGAATGATGAAACTGAATGGCTAAATGAGTGTAGATGTGAAATCAATAAAAGAAGAATATAGAAGGCAAAAAATCCAGACAGGGTAAATTACCTATACTGTTCACACCAGAAACTATACTACTGCATGTGCCATGTGGTGGCTGACCATAGGGCTATTTTGTTGGCGAAGGCAGGCAACATTTTGCTTTGCATATCCGGAATGACCTACTAAAGTGGGTGCCTATTCCTTTGGTATGACTTATGATCTAATGAAAATGAACAATGAGTGCCCTTTGACGAAAATGCAAGTAATTTAGTAATACACTTCCCTCAATTGATGGAGAAAAGTAGAAAAAGAAGTACCTTTCACCTGTTTCCTTGTTTTGACAAATATGATCACAAATCACTTTTCATCTCAGGTCCTGAATTTTGATCCACGAATTAAGGCTAGACTTCAAACAACAATTATTTCTAAATATTGCTTGAATGGTCCATTTCCATAAACCAACCAAGCATCAAGACATGAGTGCACAAGCACACCCGTGGAGAGACGGAGATTAACACGTGCACAGACATACACACGAGCTACACAAGCAAAACAATCATAAAAGAAATTTTGCAATCAAAGTTAGAAACCCAAAAGCTTTTATACACTGAAAGCATAACCAAGTATTTCCATGCTTTAACATTCCAAAATTTGCATTTATATACAAGCAAAACTCTCCATATAAAAGCATGGACTTAGAACTACAAAATATCTAGCTTAAAGTTTAACAAGATCATGTATTCCATTTACCTGCATATGTTAAAAAAAAAAAAAAAAACACCTTCATTATAATCTCTTTTTGGATTTTTTTACTTTTCCTTCCATTTATTTCCTAGTAGAATAGTTCATGAACTCAAAAGTTAACCATAAATGCACCCCAAAAAGACCCAATTACTCTTTCAGTTAGCTCTTTAGATCCCTCCTACTACCTTTCACTCGGCAGAGGAATGTATCCCATTTTCTTTCCGCAACCTCCAAAAGATTAAGGCATTCTAGACTCCTATCCTCTAACAATCTACTTTCAGCTCCATCAACACATCCAAAAGTGTTATTCTGCCAAAATCCTCATTCAAACTATCTGAATTGGACCAGAATGGACTGTCCCCCTTTCATTTACATCTAGTTCCTCGTCAGCTGTCTCATCATCCCCACTCTCCCATTAGCCCATAAAAGCAACTCTTCTTCATTAACCTCCAAGTCCTCATCAGCTCTCGCGTCATCCCCCACTCTCCCATTAACCCATGAAGGCAATGCCCGTTTACTCTCCGTTTTCTCCTCCATTCCACGCAAATTTGAACCATTCCCACCTGTGTATCTACCCTGATCAATATCCTCTACAGTGCTCTTATTTCTGCCAGGAAATCCTTCATCATTGTCAGTTTCACTCTCTATGTTTCTTACTTCAGTATCACATTGGATATCCTTAGTCAAAACATCAAGACTTTTTCCCCTACTACTACCTTCATCATTGTTGTTTTTCACTATCCATGTTTCTTTCTTCCCTCTCAGAATCAATAACCTCAGTCAAAAAGTCAAGCCCTCTTTTCCTAATAATTCCTTCATCAACTTCAAAACTAAATTCATGATTTTGCTGATTTTCAAGCTCTAACTCTGAACTAGCTCCAGGAGATGGACTAACATTCTCAAATATTTCAATAATTCGTCGGTATTTCTCTTTAGGAGTTCCCAAAACCGCACTTCGAGATTCAAAATCCAAACTTTGCAATCTTTTAGAGGGAGATTCAGTTGATAATTTACCTTTTGGTGAAAATCCTCTATTCGAAACCCTAATTTCTTCTGATTCCCTTCGAAACGTGCTGCCTGGATTCGAATTAACTTCAATCCTCTTCATCCTATCCATTTTCACTTCCACTTCCGAAAACCCTAGGTACGTATCCCTCCCCACATCAACGGCCCTCCTGCTGTCCGTACTATCAGCATCAACAGCCACGGTTTCTCCGTCGCGGAAGCTCATTGCCGATCTTTCGTTCATCGTTGCAGGTAATGAAGGAGGTGGAGGTGGAGGTGGACCTGGACTCAGGACGGGTGTATAAGATTTCCTGGTCTTCGGGAAGTGTATTTTCGTCATTTGGCAGTTTGTCTTGCACTGATTCCGGAGGACACACCATTGCGATGCCTGTGGAAGTGACTGGGATATCGGGCGGATTTCAGCAGCCCGACGAGTTGGAGTCGTCAGAATCTGACTAGACAAAATAAGAGGATGGTCTGGTTCCATCTACGATTTTGCAACTCTCACCTGCTTTCAAGAACCCAACTATATATAAATAACTTAACAATAACCTTGTTAAATTCTTTATCTTTTTTTTTTAATACACTCTCTATAATATTTTTATGGGTTAAGAAATATATCTTATGGTTAAATTCGAACCGAAGTATTTTTTAAGTTTAAAACGTGATATTTAATTATTTTATAATTTTTTTTTTCTGTCTGAATGCATATTTTCTCTATTTAAAAGTTTTTTTTTTAAAATCAAACTAATTTTTCTCTAATCAAACCGAAATCCCCTTAGCATTCTTCAACTTCTCTCTACTAGTTTTAAATTCAAGAACAAAACCTAAAAATCAGATAAAAATCACTATTTGCTCTACCATCGATCGTCGACCTTAACTTTTTTTCTTATGGCATTGTTCCTCTATTTCCTTATTTGCCTAATATCTAACAAAAATTCAATATTTGATAAAAGCTATCGTTATTTTTATATTTATTTAAATACTCCAAAACATAGGCCGAAGCCTAAAACCTTTCAAATTATCACTATTTGCCACTTAAAATCCTAAAATACTATTTTTATTCTATTTCCAAAGCCTTATAATCGAAAAAAGTATTAAAAATTATTATAATAAAAAATTATTTTATTTTGATTTTTTTATAAGTGTTTTACTGTTAATATATGTGTCTATAATTGTTTGTTGTTCGGTTATTGTTAATTTTACATTACCGAATGGGTCTTTTTTAGGTTTGATTAATTATGATTTTAGGTTCGCTGATTGTTAATAAAAAAAGCACTGGTAACGATGTTAGTGATGAAATTAGTTTTAGTTGTCTATGCAATACCATCTACAAACTCTACAAAGCAAATGATCTAAATAGAAAGCAATTCAAATTGTCAAATCTCAAAAGGGAAATTTGGAGTTTAAGCATTTTAAGACACAGAGGAGACGGAGATGTGAGGATATAGAGAATGTTTATATATTAGATTGACTTAACAGTAGCGGCGGTACGAAAATTTTGGTGATTTGAAGTTGTTATTTGTGAATTGTTTTGATTTTAGAGAGAAAAAATATAATTTTAAAAATAGAGTATAAATTTTTAGAAAAAAAATAGTATAAATTTAAATGAAAAAAAAATTAAAAATAAAAAGTAACGAAAAAAATAACGATTTTAGTAAAAAAATAATAAAATAAATTATAAAATAATTAAGTGTCTTATCTTAAAGTTCAATGAGTATTTTTATTTCAACCTGAGCCATAATATATTTCTAAAATTAACTTTTTGAAGAGATTTCCTGCATTTTTTATGTTGATATTGATAGTTGAATGACATAAGGGGATGCTCATTTGATAAAAATATATTTATACTTTAATAACTTTAATTAAATTTGAATTATTTCAATAATTAAGCATTTTCTCAATAAACTACATATTAAATGTATTTTTAGTTTAATATCATTATTTTATCTTTAGTAAGTTATCTTAAAAATTATTAATAAGTTATCCCTAATCATAATATTAAAAAAAAAACTCAATTAAAAATTTAGTTTTTTTTTAATGAAAAACTAGATTTGAAAACAAAACATTATATTTAATTAATGATTCATTGGATTTTATGGTAAAAATGATTTTAATGAGGTTAAAAATAGTGGTGGAAGTGAAATTAATTATTGTAGTGTAAAAATTAAAATAAATGGTGGATTATATGTTTGGATACAAAATAGTGGTGATGATGAGATAAATTGTAATAAAAATAATTATTAAGGACATTAGACTAATAATTTACATGTAATATTATTTTTAAATTATTTAAGATTTATAAAATAAATAAATTATTTTTATATCAAATAATAATTTTATTAATAACTAATTAAATTTTATTTATTATTTTTATTATATAATAATAATATTTATTTATTATTTTATTGTGTAATAATAAAATTTATTTTTATGTTAAATTAACAAAAATTACTTGGTAATTTTTAAATAAAAAAGTTAACTGATTAACAAAGCGTGGGTTAAAAGAGAAAAAAAATAAACAAATAAAATAAATGAATAAATTACGATAGACTGGGACCCCAGGCTCCAATAATGCATTGGAAGATTATTTGGATTACAAAGCTATGGGTGACGCAATATTTTCATTATGTTTAGGTTAAGGAAAGGGAAAGGAAATGAAAGGAAAATATAATAAAGTAATGAAAATAGAAAAATATTTCTTCTGTTTGAATAAATTTTTAATTTAAAGAAAAAAAATAAAAAATTTGATTTTCTTTGTAATTTTTATTTTTTAATATCTGAATAAAAAAAAAGCTAAAAAAAAAAATTAAAAGAATTTTATTTTTATAAAAAAATTATTATATTTGTTTTTTTATGATGATATTTAAATTTGATTATATAATTGATACTTCTTACAAAAATAATTTTTATTTATGAATATTTTATATAATATTATAGTTTATAAATATTTATGATTTTTTAAGTCTTGACAATAAAATAAGCTAAACTATTATCAGAATAAATTAAAAAATAAAATTAAACACAAAATTAAGTGTAAATTAATAATTAATTAATATATTTTACTGTATTAAATATGTTCAATTTTATTTAAAAAAATTTGTTTATATAAATTAGATAGTATAAAAATATATTTGTATATTATATGTTACTTTATAAAAAAAAGTTATAATTGAAAACAATATTATAATGAATTATTTTTTATTATTTATTCAAAAAATAGTTATTAAAATTATTTTTTTATTAATTTGAATTATTTAAATAAAAGGTACATGTATTTTTTTAAAAAAATTATTTTATTTATATGTATCTAAAAATAACGTTTAGATTTGAATTTTATTGTTAATAATTTTTTTTATAAATGATTTGTAAATTCAATTTAAATTTTTTCAAAAACTTATAATTTTAAATTAAAAAATATCGCTTTTTGTCTTAAACTTTTATTTTGAATTAAATTTATCATCTAAAATTCTATTGTTTAAAAGTTTTCTATTTTACAAATGCCATCTAGCGTGCCACGTTATAATTTTTACGTTAAAACTAAAGGTGTTATTTATGTGGTAATTTTCATCCAAAGTAAAAATTTAATTGATTGTAGATAGAAATAGAAGGATTCAATCGACCATTGTGAAATGATAAAGCCTCACATAGTAAATTTAATTAAGTATATAAGGGTTTTTACAAAGAATTTTTATTATTATTGTTGTTATTGTTTTTATTTATATTTGTATTTTTATATTCACGCCATAAAAAATAAATTGTATAAAACACGGGAAGACCGTCGGTCATTTGACAAACACGACGCCGTTTCTCTTAAAGAATATGAAACGGCAACTTTCTTCTTTTTGGCAACCACCCTTTGAAGAGGCAAAACCCAAAAAGGCAAGAGCACACATTTCTGATTTTCTCCATTTCTCTTTTTATGGTCGAAAAAAATTCTCCATTTCAGGATTCAGCTTCCTATCGAAACTTCACTCGATCTTTACCGTTGATTTCATTCTAATGCCAATTCATTCTTCATCAGTAACCGTCCATTTCTTTCCGCATTCTTCTCTCTTTCGCATTCTCGTAGTTTTTCTTTTTTTCTCGAAGATTTCGGGTAACCTTCTTATTTCCTCTATAAATCTTGTTTGCTTACTTTCTCGAGATTTTAATCGCTTCAAATCCTAACCTAAGAATCTATTATCGATTTTTTAGTCTTAATATTATGTAGAATTTCTGTTGGATGGTAACCTACCCTTTTTTCCACTTAATTTTAATTCACTTTTGCCGTTTCGATGAATACCGAGGTTGAGTTTCTGAGTCCTGTTTGGTTTCGAAGAAAGTGCAGGAAAACATTTACATATCGAAAAAAAAACTTGATTATTGTCATTAAGTGTTTGAGAGGTTATGAGAAAATTGATTTATGAATAGCATCCTTATTTTAATTCACTTTTGCCGTTTCGATGAATATCGAGGTTGAGTTTCTGAGTCCTGTTTGGTTTCTAAGAAAAATGCAGGAAAACATTTACATATAGAAAAATGCTTGATTATTGTCATTAGGTGTTTGAGAGGTTATGAGAAAATAGATTTATGAATCGCATCCTTATTTTAATTCCTTGCGTTTTCTTTTTCTTTTTACTATTTGGTTGAATACGGAGTTTGATTTTTCCTCTTTTTCGATTGAAATGTTCTTCAATACTGGGCATAACTTTAGGTTTTTTCGTGGCTTGATTTGATTGTTGATATAGCCTTTTGCTAATTTTAGAACTAAAGTCTCCTGGCCATGAGTTTATTTTTCGTTATTTTCTGTTTTTACCTTTATTCATGGTTAGAAATAGAGAATGAGGTTAATTGTCGTTTAATCTTTGAGTTAGTTGCAGTTGAATGATGTTAATGTTGTTTTTCTACGTAGCTTTTTGTGCAATTTGTAATATATGAGTTGAAATGGGAGTTTCCGATAACATGCTGCATAAAGAGACATCAAAGGTGGCGAGTGGTAGTCATTCTGAGGGAAGATTGGGAAGAGTGCCAAATGAAAATGGTAACTTTGATCCCGCATCCAAGTATAAACAGCGTAAAGTTTCGGCTGTTCGGGATTTTCCATCAGGGTGTGGAAGGTTGGCTGCTCCAATCACTAGACCATGTGAGCAAGCACAAGGTCAGGTAGGTTCTGAGTCGCAAAACCGATTATTATTGTCTGATTGGGTAGATAAGGTTGAGTGTGAAAGGAGGTTTTCAGGAGACTTTGAAATTGCACCGTGTTTGGTAAATGGAATTTCTGGTTTTCAGAAGAATTTGCCCAAGGAGAATGTTGCTGCTTCCAAGGAGGAGCTGGTTCCACAAAGTGTTGTGAAATACCATCCTCATAAGAGCAGTTTGGAGAAGACTTTAGGAAGAAGTTATCGTCCTCGGAGAGGAGTCACTGTTGTGAGAGACTTCCCTCCATTTTGTGGAAGAAATGCTCCACTTCTTAGTGAGGAGGAGCGCATGAAATGGCTTAACTCTTTAAAGAACAAGGGTTTCAATCTAGAGAAGTTTGTAAATGAAGATAAACCCTTGGAAAATCTCATATGCACTAATGTGGAACAAGTGATAGAGGATGTTCAGGATGTAAATGCACTAGAAGGTAAAATAGAAGGTAGTGCTCCTAGACTCACTGCAGTAGAAGTTCGATCTAAACCTGAAGAGCCAGCTTCTGAAACAATGAGGAAGCAAGGTGCCTACGAAGCTTCTTCCAGGAATGATATGAAAGAGGATGTGGAAGATATGAGTGAAAACAGCATCAAATCTTCTTGTGAAACTTTTCCAAATGAATTTGATAGCAAGTTCAAGAAAGTAGCTGAGATGAGGGATAGATATATTAGGGGTATGGAGGAAAATCCAATACGTGATATTGTTGTCTATGCAGAGGACAAGGGTTTTGAGAAAAAGCTTTCTGATTTATCTGCCTTTGCGGATCAATTGCTGGAGGAGGAGCGTGGGTGTCAAGAAGTTTCATCAGACAGGTCGATTGTGCTAGGCCTCATGGCTTCATCAACTTGTCCTTGGCAACAAGGGAAAATCTCCTGCAATCCTGACCTGGATGGTGGTTCATTTAGAAGAAAAAGAAAGAAGAATACCAAGAAGAATTCTTCTCCCACAAAAAGGGTTCATGAAGGTCTCGGCCAAGTGGTTATTTCAAACAAGGAAGACTCATTCCTGGAGGATGGGCAATACACAAATGATAATTTTGCTCGGAGATCATATGGTTATGATGTGAGTCTTCCGCCTCATCCAATTAGTATGGGTCATGACAATGATGCGATGACTAGTCGGAACAAAGTGAGAGAGACATTACGTCTATTCCAAGTGATCTGTCGGAAGCTCTTACAGGAAGAAGAATCAAAGTTGAAGGGAGAAGGAAAGACTCATAAGAGGGTAGATTGCCAAGCTGCAAAGATTCTCAAAGAGAAAGGGAAATACGTCAACACTGGCAAACAGATCATTGGACCTGTTCCGGGTGTTGAAGTTGGTGATGAGTTTCAGTATTTTATTGAGCTCAATATTGTTGGCCTTCATCGCCCAAGTCAAGGTGGTATAGATTATGTAAAGCAAGGTGACAGGATCGTTGCTACTAGTATTATAGCATCGGGAGGTTATGAGGATGACTTGGATAATTCAGATGTCTTGAGTTACATGGGTCAGGGAGGAAATGTGATGCAGAAAGGTAAGCAACCTGAAGACCAGAAGCTTGAAAGAGGAAACCTTGCTTTGGCAAATAGCAGATTTGTGAAGAATCCAGTGAGGGTGATTCGTGGTGAGACAAGGTCCTCTGATTTGTCGGAAGGTAGAGGTAAGACATATGTTTATGATGGACTCTATTTGGTGGAGGAGTTTAAGCAAGAACCAGGACCACATGGTAAGCTGGTCTACAAATTTAAGCTGGTCAGAATTCCAGGTCAACCAGAGCTTGCTTGGAAAGTTGTAAAGAAATCTAAAGTGCGGGAAGGGCTCTGTGCACATGATATCTCACAAGGGAAGGAGATAATCCCCATTTGTGCTATAAACACCATAGATAGTGAAAAACCTCCACCATTTGTGTATGTACCTCAGATGATATACCCTGACTGGTGCCGCCCTATTCCTTCCAAAGGTTGTGATTGTATCAATGGATGCTCAGAGTCTGGGAAATGTTCCTGTGTGATGAAGAATGGAGGAGAGATCCCATATAACCATAATGGTGCCATTGTTGAAGCAAAGCCCCTTGTCTATGAATGTGGTCCTACTTGCAAGTGTCCTGCTTCTTGCTATAATAGAGTCAGCCAACATGGCCTAAAATTTCAGCTTGAAATCTTTAAAACAGAATCAAGGGGCTGGGGTGTTAGATCCCTAAATTCTATCCCTTCAGGAAGTTTTATCTGTGAGTATGCTGGAGAGCTCCTTGAAGATAGGGAAGCTGAAGAAAGAAAAGGGAATGATGAGTATTTGTTTGATATTGGAAATAACTGCAGTGACAGTTCTCTCTGGGATGATCTTTCAACCCTAATGCCTGATGCACATTCAAGTTTTCATGAAGTTGTGCAGGACAGCGGTTTCACCATTGATGCAGCACGGTGTGGTAATATAGGGAGATTCATAAACCATAGCTGTTCACCTAATTTGTATGCACAAAATGTCCTTTATGATCATGAGGACAAGAGAATCCCACACATAATGCTCTTTGCCGCTGAGAATATTCCTCCCTTGCAAGAGCTGACTTACCATTACAATTATATGATAGATCAGGTTCGTGATGAGAATGGTGGCATAAAGAAGAAAATTTGCTACTGTGGTTCTTCAGAGTGCACTGGCAGGATGTATTAAGGCATGCCACTAAGAACTGTTTGGATTCCTGAAAATGCACTGACCTTTTTCATTGTACGTGTATTTGTCAAAATTTATTAGGTATTTATTTATATAGACATAGTTAAATATGTATATGCATATATGTGTTCTTGAATTTAATGTTGTTTTTGGTTTTGATTTGTTGCTCACGATCTTTTTTAGTAATACTTTTTATGGATGCTCCCCTGTGCATGTGTACAAACTGATCAACACCCAGATCACATGTGAGAGCATTCTTGCACACACATTTACACCATAATCATTCGTAACACAATCATTTCCTTTTCTTTCTCATTTAATGCTAATTCACAGATGTTCTAATCCATGGCAAATTCTTGTTGTTTGCAGAAATTACACTCATGACTCGAATGGATTCAAAACTTTAATATGCATGGACTATTTTTGCCTGCTTTATTTGGGGCGACCATGTGGATTTGGTTTGTGACTATTTAAATGCACATTTTCTACCTACCTGTATAGGTTTGTGACAAAAAGCTAATAATGTGGCCGTCAATGCTTATTTTTGCAGGCATTGCAATATCTGGAAGCCGCACTATATGCTTCATGTTGCTGTTCAAATTTCGTGGTTGAGATACTAGACCCATGCCCTCCTTGCTTAGATCAAGTTTCAGGAAATGGTTTGATGATTCTTCACAGGCATTCCTAGAATTCAACCTTTTGGCAAAATGCATCTAGGATGCATGCGAGGAAGCTAATTGCAGTCTCGATGATGTAGGCTTTTATACGCTAAATAGTCAAATATAAGAAATTTCTCTACCCCTTAAAGTGTTCCTTTTTTGGGTATATTTTCAGGGGAGAGTTGAAAGTTGGACTTTTACCTTTGTTGGAGGGCTGATAACCGTTTAAGTTAAATCAAGCAAAACTCAGTAGATGCTAAATCTTCTTTTTATGTATATTTTTTTAATCATCAAAACAAATGAAAACAACCAAGAATAGAAAATTCCAAGCGTGGGCCCAATCCTAAGCCTTTAGCATTAAGCAAGACCGCTCGATCCCATGCTTCGATTGGACAATGATTGGGCCCTTAATTGCGAATTGATCTTTATGTTTGAATTAAAAGTGTAGAAGGCCTTTCTTTTCGGCCCATTAAATAGGGTTTTCAAGAAAAATGAGAAAAAAAAGAAGAAAAACAAAACCCCGAAGAAAACAATCCAAAATAAAAATTGTACAAACAAGAAAATCAGAAGAGGGAAAGCAGGCAAGAAGCGAAGATGGATTTTAGTGTTCTCAATGAAGCATTGGCCTCCAAATCCTTCGATAAGATCGCTGATATATGCGACAATCTCATACTTCAGGTACTTTCTCTTCTTCATTTTTCCCCCCTTTTGTGATTGTTTCATCTTATTTTAGTTAGGTCAAGTTTTTCTCATTTAGAATTCCCTAAACCCTATCAAAACCCTAATTCGACTGTTTAAATAAAAACTTTGATCTATATTAAAAAAAAAAAAAAACCAGGTAGCAGCGGAGGGCGTTCCTTTTCAAGACGAATGGCCTTTCACAATTCATCTTCTCGGCCACATCTACGTTGATGATATGTAAGCCCATGTATTCTTTATTTACTTGTTTAATTATAAAGTTATATTTGGGATTTATATCTATGTGATTCTAGTTTATTCAAACATGTTATTTTGGAGTTAATGTCGGTTTTCCAAAATACAGGCATAGATTTAATCTAGGATTTGATACTTGGATGGGGATGGTTTTGCAGTAATAGTGCAAGGTTTCTTTGGAAATCGATACCTCCGGCAATCAAGGAGAGCCAACCAGAGTTGGTTGCAGCCTGGAAAATCGGTCAGAAGCTGTGGACGAGGGACTATGCTGGTGTCTATGAAGCTATTCGCGGCTTTGATTGGATTCAAGAAACTGAAGTTCTTATTGCTGCTTTCTCAGGCAAGCTTTCTTTGTCATAGCTTTCACAGTAGTTTAAGTAATATGTAAAAGATGAAAGCAAAAATATATTTGGTTTAAGAGAGCTAATTGTAAAAAGTAATATTTAATTCAAATGTTATGGTTCAGTACAGAAGCAATGAAGTGTGCTTCCTATTTGAACTGCTTGTTTTGAGTTAGATGCATGAAATAGGATTGAAATCATGTAAAAATTATGTAACTCTTGATATCATAGAATGTCTAATTGTCTATTAAAGATTTAGGCAATTTAGCAGTTGAGGTCATTATTTGCTGTATGTTTTGTAGAGCTTAACACTAAGAGGATGTTTGAACTGCTGCTATCTGCTTATTCAACAATAAGCATCCATGATGCAGCTCAATTTCTTGGAATGAGTGAGGAAGATGTCACAAATTGTAAGTACACATCATTTATTATGTTTAGGCTGTGAAGTTTCTATTATTTTACTATTTATTGTTAGATGTTCTACATAAGCTTCTTTTAGTAGCTATGAGTCTATAGTATTAATATGAACATATGATATTAGGAAGGATAACTTGTGGCTTTAGTTTACTAGGAAGAATTCCATGTTGTGGCCGGAGAAACCTGGGCTTGAATCCTAGCAGCCGCACTAAATCCAAATTATTAAAAAAAAAAAAAAAGGAAAAAAAGATAGTTGAAAGGATATTAGATAATTATATCTTTTTTGCATAAGTTCAACTGCCTTAGTGCTGGCTGGGGATATGACTGGTTTATATTAATAATTAGTGAAAACAATGTCAAAATTATCTGCTGCCTATGGTTTGATTAGAAGTCAACATCTCTAGACGTTGAAACCTGTGCCTTACCCAACATCAGAATATTTGTGCTCCCTGTAAATGCAAAATGTGTAAAACTTGAGACTCTAAACAATGGTGGCAAATGAAAGCTACATTTTCAATCCCCTATTACTACTAATGTATTGTCTTTAATTCTTGTTTTTATAAAACAAGATCAATGGCCATAAAAAACTAAATGCCCTTTGAAAAACCATGAACCTTTGCTGTTTATAGGCTTACCCTACGCTAGGGTAACAGTAATCATATGGATTAACATGCAAGTCCAGTTATACTAAGAGTTTGATTACGCTTCACTTTCCATGCTCAAGATGATATGCTTTTCCTCTTTGTTGTGTTCTAGGTCAGAAATTAAAGTGTTATAGCTTATGTTCTTAGTGGATCATTGATTTAGTCTGACAAAAGAGGATCATTGACTCTGAATGATTTCTTCAATCCTCCCATGTACTCCTTTTGAGGGGTTGTTTTAGCTTCCTTTAGGTAAAGAGTAATATTTGCTCATAATAACTGTTTTGGGGTTTGTTTGTTACCTACTCATGGCTTGTTGAGCTAGCTTTAGGGGTTTGTTCTTGCATGGGCTGCGTTCTATTTAGTGGTTGAGGAGGTATGTTTGGTAACTGGCTCTTACTGTCAACCCTGTTTTCAGCTGAATGTTCCACGTTCTGTTTTCTTAAATAGAATTCTTTACTTAAATTTAGTATGTGCTACTATGCAGATTATTATTTGGGTTGTTGATACAACAGTATTGATAATATGTATTAATGTCAAGTTGTTTTTGGTTGCAACATGCAGATGTACTCCGGCAAGGCTGGACGGTCGATTCTGATTCTCAAATGCTTACTGTGACAAAGCAGGCTATTGTGAGAGAGCAGAAACTAGATCCTGGCAAATTGCAGTGCCTGACGGAATATGTCTTCCACCTTGAACATTAAATGATTTGTAACTTTTGAGCTTCTTTAAGCAAGTTAATGCTTCTAATATTTGTCAAAATTTTGGGAGCTTCTTCAAACTTCATTCACCTTTGCTTTTATGTTTGGAACAGTTTCAGTTGAATATCTAATCTATGTGTAATTTTAAAGCATGTATCATCCTTCCTATCAGCAGCAGATGAGAAGAGAGAAAATTATGGAGGAAATTTTTTTCCCCCCGAAACAAAGCAAAGAGCATTTCCTGTCCATCTGGGCTCAGCTCAAATGATAAAAGGTGAGTGTGGAAGTGGTGGAATGAGTTACATAAAAATAATAAATTGACGCACAAAGTGGGTTTCGAAATGATACTGAAAATATCTTTCAAGGTCAAACTTTATTGGTTGATACACAAACATCAAGCAAAAGTACATGTACCCAAATTATTTTTTTTTTAATTGATCACGAGGCAAAGCCTGACCGCGCTTCGCCGTCTTACAAACAAGTACTTAATGACAAAACAAAGCAACTATAATTGAGAAATTAATCAGCAAGTAGTCTGATTTTCCTTTTAAAAATTCTTTCTTTTTCATAAGTGCAATTCGGATGCCCTTTACTCAAGCTGAATATCTGATTCATAAGCAACTCCAACTTTCCAATCACTAGGAATGATATTTGGTGCCTGCACCCATGTCAAACCGGCGTCGCCACGCACTTGGAACCTCAAACTGACATCTCCCAATGGCGGATTAGCCATGTCGAAAACAGCCCCGTACGCTCTCCTCATTCCTATCCATTCTTTACAATCCTCCTGCACATTACCAGCAGAAATTAAACACTATTCTTTAACTCCTTTTGCTGTTTTGAAGTTACTGAATTCAGGTTCTAGCGATTTTATTATTACCTGCCAAATATCAACGGCTAGGATTTCATTTTTGCCAGCTGGGTACAAGATTACAATGGCCAAGTAACTTGGGTATCTGCTATGTTCATGAACCTTAAACTGGAGCTTTTTACCACCGTAGCGACAGGGGATTCTCTGGTATTGGACATCAACTACGCCATAGGCAAACAGCTGTGCTGCGGTGTCTGATCGTGCCATCCTTGAGTACGCACGGGGGCTGAGAATGAAATCGGTGTTGTCTCCTTCGCCATAGTCAGTCACCACTATGTTCACCCCATTATCAGTACAGAGTTGAGGGTTTGTGCACCTAACCTGAGGGTTGCTTAGTTAAACAATATCAGGTAGTGTCATCAATTATCGAACATAAAATAAGAAGCCACTTGTTTATTTATTAGTGCCAAAATAGTTAATGATAGTGACATTTTATTTACTTTGTAGCTGTTGGGCACATGTTCTAACAATAGAAATGCTTTTAGAAGTGAAGATATATACTCTAAAAGTTGAGTGGAAATTTAGCTTGATTTGAGGAAGTTTCCGCCGAACCCCTTTGGCCACTTGCTTACTTTTTTGGTAAAAAAGGCCACGTTCTGGGGGCTGAGATAGAGAAAGGGGTTGCAAGTGCTAAGATTTAAATTCTAGACTCACTGAATGCCACATCTAAAGGGTGGCTGTATGAACTAACTCTAAGCTCCGGGATCTTGCTTACTTTATCTGTTGCTTTTGAAGCTGAAATAATTTAAGGCTCTTGAAGTTTTACCTGATAGCAAGCACCACAGCCAGTTCCATTCTTGTAGAGCCTGGAAACCCCAGCCACATTGGCATCATTGACGGTCCTTCCATATTCTCCAAACCCACAGGCTCCACCTAGATTCTCATAATTGTTAGCTCATACATGACATGATGAACATTGCATAAGCATATGTAAATTTAAGGGTTTGAAATCAAGTCAATAATTTGAAGAGTATATCCACTTGTCAAACTTAGAAGATTGACACTTCAATTTATATGCAACTAGTAATACATAAACATACATGTATTATGAAATGTACATACTTGGAGTCCCCAAGCAGTCAGGACTGCCATAGTAAGTTGCTCTGGACCCTACGAAATAGTCCTGAGAGTAACACAGTGCAGGCAAAAGCACCATGACAGAAAAAAGGCAATAATGAAATGTTAGGGAGAACCCCATGTTTCTGCTACAAATAATGCAACCGAGAAAAAAAATCAAAAGAACTAATAGTAAAAGAGAGAAGAAGAAGCTGAATGAGCTATTGAGATGGGAAGCTAAGAACTTAGAATCCCATATTTATAGCAGAAGGCACGAAGCTGGTGTTAAGCAAATTACTACACCTTTTTTTCTTCCACTAATTGGGGGTAGCTAGGCGCAGTCCAAAAGGGTTTAAGGCGGCAGGATTAAGATGAATGATGTGTATTCATATGTGTAGACCTCGTTATTGACCCGCTTTGGACCCTTGTTTGAATTTGGATAAGTATTCTATTGACAAATGTGATCTGCCTAACTTTTGTCAACTTTCCCTTCCGCTTCTAGGCAGCTTCGTGTTTATATCTGCAGGTTCATTCTGAAAGTTCACGCGTGAATTATTACCCTACTTTTGGAACTAAATTATTTGTTTATGGTATTGGATTTCAAGTGTTAAAGAATAAGACTGCAGTTGCAATGCTTTGGAAATCCTTCTCCTTTCCTCATTAATTATTGAAAACATTTTGCCATTTCTGTGTAATAAAGGTTCTCATTTTCCCATGTTCTTCAAAGTTATTCATAACTTTGGGATAGAGATACAAACTTGAAACTTCCTCTTAGGCTGATTACATTGCAATAAGTTCATGTAACAATAACTCTCAAACGTTGATTGTTTTTAGTCAAAAACTAAAAGCCAATTGGAAAATCCCACCAACATCAAGTCTGTAATTTTATCAAATTGAAACCAAATGTAATTATCTTTAGGAAGCTGATAGGTTTTGTTGACTCAGACAAAAAAAACCATGAGCCAAGTACTGTAAAAACTAACAATTACAATAACCCACCAAAAGCCACTATCTGGTGGGTGGCAACGCACTACCACGAAGCTGAACTCATAGACTGTCACTCTTGGTTGAAAATTTTAAGTTAAAGACTTCAAAAATTAGGGGTGAGAGCACTCTTTAATTTTCTGTTTGGCATAACAAATTGATCTTGAAAAGGTTCAAGTATTGGCACGTTTGAATTGATGTAGGCATGTGTAGGAAAGAAGATCACAAAGTGTGAATTTTCTATAGGATAAGTGACCATAAATACAAGTTGTACTATATTTTTTGTGAAGTGGGTAGGTGGCTCTTCTTCCGGGACTTCCATTTGGCGATGGTACAGCACATTGGTTTGTAAATACCAGAGGAAAGAAAAGAGGGGAAGAAACGTAGCAAATAGCAGTAGCTGCAAAATCATGGTTTAATGACTCTAGTGATTGATTAACATCTGGTCATCAGTTCACCATTTAATATCTGATTTCTCTTCTTTGCTTTTTTTCTAGTTTCATTTACGTTTTTGCTTCAAATTACGTCAAGACCACTTTATATAGGTGTCTCCCCAAAAGTTCAGGGTCCAAGCTTGCCATGCTATCCTTCACAAAAGAGCAATTATTAACAAATTTTCTCGTAATTGATGAAACCGCCATTTGTCCACACCATACATGAAGATTGGGAAACCGCGAGAAACTGGTTAATCCGACTTTGGGTTCTTTGAGTAAAATACACTATTAATCATTCAACTATGGTTTTATTTCTAAAATATTACTTAACTATTAATTTTTCATTTAATTACTTAAATTTAAATAAATACTTTTTATCACTCGGCTAATTATCTTTAATGATGTGCTAACGAGAGACATCATCTATCAAGCACTATCACATAATTTTTCATGTTAGCTATTAATATATTACATGACATGTCAAATGAGGTGGTAATATCACATGACACATGATCACTTACGTAACACTGTCACGTTAGTACAAATGGTTGAATGAAAAGAAAATTTTACTCAAATGACTAAATTAAAAAAAAATAATAGTTAGATGATTATTTTAAAAACATCAATACAATTGGATGACTAATTTTGCATTTTACCTAAATATATTTTTTTTAAAAAGAGATGATAGACATTAAAATTTGAATTTCAAATCTACTGAATAATATATATATATATATATATTTAAGAAAGATGCATGAATCAAACTGAATTGAATTTTAGATTCGCGAGTTCTTAAATGTTAATATACATGGTAGTTTCTTTTCGTTAAATTATCTAACGAGGTTATCTCAGCAAAGACTTACAATGTAAATAAACTTTGAGTATAAGATAAAAAAAAGAACACGAAGCACACCTGGAGAAAGGGGGAGAAGAAACGAAAAAAAAAGTAATTGCAGTTAATTGCTGTTTAAACAACTAAAATAGACTTTATTGAACCTAAGATACACAGACCAAATTGGGCTACAAATGACTGATACACCTACTCAGACAGCATATTCATGACTATGATTCCCATTCCCATGGCTTTGCTCCCCAAACAAAAGTACAGACTGTTCTCAGCTTCTCTAGTCATCCTTCAACTCAATCTATACTGTTGCAATAAACAGCATATTAGAGAAGCTTAAAAATATTCAAAAGTTAGAGATAAATTTTGAAAAACAATCTGATCTCTCTAAACATGTATTATCTACTTTGTTTCAATTAAACTGATAATTTCACATTTCAGAAAGATAGGCAACAAAGATTGAGAGAGAGAAAAGAGTTTCGAGAAAGTGCCGACACTTTTATTGGCTTAAATAATGAGATCACTCACCATTAATAAGTCTTTGCCAAATAATGGAATGGACACTGATGGAATTGGGACCAAGATACATTCATGATCTATATACGAAATACCATCTTCCACTTGGAATATCCTTATGACACTTGTGATGTTTGTGCAACGAAGCACACCACAACGCAAAATTTCCTCTTCATTCATTCTCAATACAACCCCAACAAACTTAACAGAAGAATAAAAAAGCAAATGCACGGTGTAAAGCATATGAACAAATGGTCAAACAGGCAACAATAGCTGATGCACTTTGTTGCAGATTTTAGGGTGGACATAAAGAACAATGATAGCAAATGTGGTGAGACCATAAAACAATCAAGCAAATACTTTTCTATTCCAGAACACACTTGTAGAGAAATGTACTAGTTACGGGCAGAACCTAGAACCATTGTGGGTGTGTAGAAGTGGAAAGGGAGGCACATGATAGAGATTGAACAGCTAATGTTCAATAAAGGCATAACACGTCTATAAAGTTATTCCTCTTTCGCCCTCCACAATTACCAATCAAAACCTTTATATATGAAGAAAATGGATAATAAATCATTTTGTTTCAGAGGTAGAGATTTCACACATAATTACGAACACCCAGCTACATCATATTGTTTGGTGACATATCTAAAAACACTAGAAGCCACAGGGGGAGTCAAAATGCATCCGACTATCAATTCTTTCTAAAAATAATCAATGCTTAAATAGACATCACATTAACCGGATCCTGTGGTAAGAAGTGTCCTCAATTTACTACAGTCTAAGTTCCATTAAAATAGTCTAATGCAAAAAACCTATAGGCCAAATAATTATGAGATATATAAAGGAATGCAGGATAAAATACAGCTATCTTTTAGACGTACTGCCTTCTAAAAAATAAGCATTTATTGTTACTGAAGAACTATTGTATGAAACGATATCTAGAAGGTATAACATGCAATGTAATCAATTGTACAATTCAAGAGAAAACAAACTGTTTTACCTGAGCAGTTTTAACAGCCACAAGCACAAGTTCTCCTATGTTCAGATAAGTTTTCCCTTTTTTAGGTCAGAAACAACACCACGGTCTTCAGGACTCCTTTCATTGTATAAAACCTGCAGAATATTATTGTAAAAACATACTATAGCAATACATGAAAATTGGTACAGAACAAATAACTCCTTCAAGTACAAGAACCTTATCTATGATGCCATATTCAACTGCTTCACTGGGGCTAAAATATTTTGGGCGCCTGATATCCGCTTCAATCTGCTCAGTTGATTGTCCAGTGTGTTTTGCATAGAGATTAACCTTGAGTACAATTCATATAAAAAAACATGCAGTTGTATTAGCCCAAATTTGGACAAAAATCCAACAACAAAGTTTGTTAAGTCAGCTTTAATGAGTAAATTTATAAACAAATATATACAGTCTACAGTTCAGTCATAGAAGTCCAAGCAAATATAAAGCTGTTTAAGCAGGAACATGGTGTTTTCAAATTTAAGTTTCGTGTATAATCAAAATCCTTAACTAAGTAGATCATTTTCTTACCAACTCTGTTTTCAATAATTTTATTTCCTTTCTTGCAATTTCAACATCCGTTGCTTGACCTTGAAATCTAGCCATTGGCTGCAGAGTGATAGAAGAATAAAAAAATTAAACATTCAGGTCAAAGTGTCCAAACTCTAGTAACATATTAGAAGAAATTGATAGTTTAGATCATCGGAGATCCACTGTCCAACAACCAACCTGCCTTATCATTATTGAAGATGAAGGAAGAGCAGAACGATTTCCTGCTGCACCAGCAGCTAAAAGTAATGCAGCTTCTCCCCAAGCATTACCAACACAGAGAGTAAAAACAGGAGGCTCGATATAACTGCAGTGAAAGAAGATATTCAGAAATACAAAATAAAGCTAGGAAGCTGTTCTGGAGGGATAAGGACGTACAGGGGTTTGTAGAATGTTATACATTCAGAAATGTTTCCAAGCTTAAGGCAGGTGGTATATAAGTAGTGTCTAGGAAGAAGATAATCTGCAAGTAAATAGGCCTCATCATGACTAAAAGAACATACTGCCTATAGAAATGTGGAAGGTACAAGTGACCCAGCATCATCAACAACAGAATGATGCATTCACTATTTAAGAGTGGCTGATACTGCTGGATTTTGAAATCTAGGGGCTGAAACTACCACCGTGAATCCAGGAAGAGAACTCAGATCATTCCAACACTTAACAATCGCCTATTTTGTGCAGCTCATAAAACAATTCAATTGTGAAATAAAGCAAGAGTTAAAAAAGCGAAAAGAGAAATGACCTCATAGTATCATAGACTGCAAAAGCCTGATTCTCATAACCCAACTTCCGGCCACTCTGAAAGAGTGAAAAATCCTATTAATAGAGTTAAAAAGGGAGCAAACTAATGCAACATTTTGTTTCATCTTTTAGGTACCTTAATAATGCAAAAGAAAGGTAAAAGGCAATACATTTACTTACTAAGTTCATATTCAATACATTTTAATTCTTAGAGAAACAAAAATAAGACATGTTCAAATTACTTTATATATAAAGCTTACATTTCTTATCATTCATTTAGCATCCAATGCAAATTATGATGCCACAAATCATAGAAAAAGCTACATTTATGCCTCTAGAACATGATTTCCAACATTTGATAAGAAAATCGTACCTTGGTTACTCCAGTGGAGTTTATGTACATGAAAATAGGCTTCTCTGCATCTTCATACTGAAGGTAGAGAAACTCTGCCAATAGCAACTCTGTGACAGAAGGAACAAGAGACATTCCCAAGTAAACTATCCGATTCTTGTACAAATACGATGCTAAGTCCGGTGGAGGTTGCTCCCATACACTTCCCTCTGTAAAGGGAATAACCTATACACAAAATTCGAGGCAAACACTGAAATATGAATTCATTCAATTGCACCCTTGTCTAAATTAAACTTGACCTTAGAGGGCAATCAACTGTGATATCATACTCCAATTTAAATCAAGAGCTAAGGTTAGCATTAATATTAACATTCTTATACAATAAAATTGCCTACTTAGCAACTATTATCGCTATTAATAAACATTTGAAAACCCTAGACAAGTAAAGTAAAGAAATTTAGATTAAATTACAATGATTTAAAAGTGTACCATGGGGACAACACCTCGTTTGGGCTTGGACCGGGAGAGAGAAGCTGGGTTGAGAGAATCAGGTCGTAGCTTGAATCCCGAGAAATCTCCGGAAACGCTGCCGATGGCGGGAAAGGGAGAGAGGAAGTTGGTGGAGAGAGAAGTTCGGAGAGCAGCTGACGGAGGAGTTGTTAGGGTTCCGTTAGGGTTTACCGTTCTTGCAAAGGTTGATGGTGATAACATGTGCGCGTGGAGCACGAATCTCGATGCGGGTGCGGTTGCGGTTGCGGTTGCAGTTGCGACCTCCATTGATGGCTATGGTGCTTTGAGGAAGCAGCGTTTTGAGAGAGAGGGAGGGAGTGAGAAATAGTAACAAAGGAGATGAGAGAGAATTGTAACAAAAAAAATTAGAGGATAAGAGAGAAATGATATCCGAATCAAAATCCGATTGGGAATTTGGGAACTGTTCGGGTTAGCCCCGAGATGTTTCCATTTTTGTTCGTTTTTTCCACATAAAAAACGATGTCGTTTTCAAAGTCGTTTTGAAAGAAGTCTTTCAAGCATGTCAACCGCTAACATTTCTTCCCCTACGTTTCCTCTGTCACAGCATTTAATATATACTAATGAAAGTGAAACTAGGCATATTTAAAGTTGTATATGAAGAATTTGCATCAAAGTCTTCATTCTAACAGGGAAAAGTCTATTTCATCTTGATTTTCAGAATGGATGATCGCTTGATTGATGCCTCTCAAAAGGGTGATATAGATGTCATGTATGAATTAATCCGGGAAGTGCCGACGTTTTAAGGCGCATCGATGAGATTATGTTTGTAGATACGCCTCTGCATATTGCAGCTTCTGCTGGGCATACTTGTTTTGCCATGGAGATGATGAACTTAATGCCCTCATTTGCCCGGAAGCTGAACAAGTCTGGCCTTAGCCCCATGCACCTGGCTATGATAAACGGCAAGTTGCAGCTGGTACTCGTATTTCTAGAGGCTGATTGTGATCTGGTTCGTGTCAAAGGAAGAGGAGGCTCGACTCCTTTGCATTTTGCAATCAAGTACGAAAACATCGATCTCTTGGCTAATTTTTTAGTGGTTTGCCCAAAGTCTATTGAAGATGTGAATGTCAATGGTAAAACTGCTTTGCGTATTGCTCTTAAAAACAATAAGTTGGAAGCCTTTGAAGTTTTGGTGGGATGGTTTCAAAGAGTTTGTCATGAAGATGCCTTGAAATGGATAGTGAAGATCCCAAACAGGAAGGATTTGCAAGGCAAAACGGTACTGGACATTGCAGCATCCAATAATCAACTTGAGGTAAATTCTCCTATGCTAGTAAAAGTTATATTACTTTGTTTATTAATATTTAAACTTGTTAAATGGGTTGGTCCAATTTGGATTCACATGAATTTTTCTGATTTCATATCTATACCCACCTTTTAAAGATGGTTTAATTGACTTTCACATTTTTTACTTGACTTTCCCCTTTTGGGAATTAAAACAATACAAAAAAACCTTGAATTTAATCTTAAGAGATGGCATTAATAGGTTTGTGATTCAATTATTAGTACCCACAATCTCTTCCTCAATCTTCAGACTACGGCTTCAGTTACGGAAATTTATGATTTATTTTATTGCCCGTGTGAAGAATTGAAAGATTTAATATTTCCAACGTAAAAATTATTCTCTGTATGATGAATTGGCGCTGTTATACTCATGGTGCAGTTCATCAAGTTGATAGCTAAAATAAATGCCAAGAATTCTAAGGGGAATCGTCTGACAACTTCAAGCAGATTGCAAAATCAAGTCAAATTATTTTCGAAGTTAGTTAAGAAAATGCAATGGGGCAATTTAAAGGCTTCATCACCTGATCAATCTCGCATAACTCTCACAAACTACTTAAGATCAAAGACATCATTTGATGAAAGATTTGCTGGTTTTATAACTCGTCACAAGATGAAGATCTCAGATGATGCTCGTGATGCATTGCTAGTGGTTGTTGGGCTGCTTCCAGCATCGACCTTTCCGGCCATATTCAGTCCCCCTTGTAGTGTTCAGCAGGGTGACAACAACAACAATAACACAACTACTGTAACAGGGGAACCATCACCGCTTGCAGGGACGGTTGTCATGGATTCAAGCACGTTCCTTTATTTTTCAATTTATAACAGTGGAATCGTTCATGCTGCAATCTGTTTAACTGGTCTTCTCCTCCCAGACGGCTTCTTTGGGGCAACTTTGGTGCCCCTGCTGTTTTTCTTGTTATCCTGCCACAATATGTCAGTACAAATCATCTCACCAGATGATGTGATCGTCCGAAAGGTTCATTGGTTATTTTTTATCACCATGCATTTGGCTGTAGTTTTTATCCTGACGATTCAGCGGGAAGGAAAGCAAAAACTGCGGCGACTTTGCTACACTGCAGACTAGTACTGCTGCTACGAGGAAGTGAAGCCATTGGAGATGATGATTCAAGTTCAGAACCAATTACATCAGTTTGATGCGAATGCTGTAAGACAAGAAAACGTAATTAGGAAAATTTGAGAGATTTTATATTTAACTTTTTAAAAGTTAATCAACAAAATGCCCTTGCAATTTTTTGAATTTTTTACATTTGAGTTATATTGGTTTCAAGTTTTTTTTTTCTTTCTTTCTTTCCCACCTCTTTGATTTTTGCCTTTGTATAAATTATCATTACAAAATTAATGTTGTGGAAATTTTGTTTTTTTCCTCTATAATTAATATCCACATGGACGTTTCCTGCTACTGCAGCCAGATGCCAAGGGGTTTCTGCAAATGATTAACCATACCTGAAGGCAATTGCAACAAGGAATAAAGTTAAATTTTTTTTTTTTGTGTGAAGTGTGTGAAGAACAAGGTTGTCTTGGAACTTTTACATTAACCAAGCACAAAGGAAGGTAGCTAGTTCTGCCAAAAGCAAAATTGGAAAAGAAAAGTGTGTCCAAGAGACTTGGATTATTAAGATGCAAGGGCATAATTATAAGCCTACTAGAGGTTGCAATTATGTCAATACTGAAACTGTGTTTATTAAAAGAACAAGTATCAATACAATGGATGATGTCCTGATCCAGACCTCTCAAGCAGGAGCCATTAACACCTTGTATGAGTTAATCAGCAAAGATGCAGCTGTCTTAAAGCGCATTGACGAAATCATGTTTGAAGATACACCGTTGCACATTGCAGCTTCAGCTGGGCAAACCTGTTTCGCAATTGAGGTGATGAATTTGATGCCGTCATTTGCGCGGAAACTAAACAAAGATGGGCTTAGCCCTCTGCATCTTGCTTTGTTGAAGGGGCATTCTGTGTTCTTGCTCTTACTCTTACGTGCTGATCGCGAACTTGTTCCTGTCAAAGGAAGAGGAGGCGTGACCCCTTTGCATTATGCAGCTCAAAATGGAAACATCGATCTCTTGGCTGTTTTTCTCGCAGCTTGTCCAAAGTCTATTGAAGATATGACTGTTGAAAGCGAGTCTGTATTGCATATTGCTGTTAAAAACATGTTAGAGGCTCTTGAAGTTTTGGTGGGATGGTTTAACAGAGTCCGCCATGAGAATGTCTTTAATTGGAAGAGAAACATTCTGAATTGGAGGGATAAGCAAGGAAACACTGTGTTGGACATGGCAGTATCCAATCTGCAAATTGAGGCAAGTTTTTATGCTTTTATAAACATTTGCAATTTAACGTATTGTAAAACCCTCAAACGTCAATTAATAAAGAGAAGACATACAACTGTCTTAAAAGCCATGGATGAATAATTAAGTTAATTTAGCTCCCTGATCAAATTATGGTAAGAGTGGGTTTGCTTTTATCGTTTGTAACAACTTCTACTAAGATGAGTTGATGGTTTTGGCCATGATCTATGCGGGCAATCCAGTTGTTAGCTGAAATAAATGCCAAGAATTCGGAAGGGCTAATAGCTTTAGATATCCTACAACGCGAAACCAAAATGAGCAGAAGAGTAGTGCGACAACTGCTACGCAACACTAGAGTTTCAAAAGCTTCATCGCCTGAAAGTAGTAAAACAACTCTTGCAAACTACTAAAGGTCAAAGACAATATTCGATGAAAAAGTAGCTGTATGCATCACACGTCAGATAATGAAAATTACAAAGGATCTGCGCAATGCGTTGCTGGTTATTGCTGGGGTTGTCGTAGCAGCCACCTTTAAGGCTATATTTAGTCGCCCCGGAAGTGTTCGACAGGAAAATGGCAATCGAACTACTGTGATCAATGGAACTTACACTATTACAAACACCACTACCGGTGGAGGATCACCGTCAAATGATGCAGGGAAGAGTGTCATGGATGCGGATAAATTCGTCGCCTTCTCAACTTGCTACATCATACTCTTTTGTACTGTAATCGGTATTATCAGTCTACTCCTCGCAGACGGATTGCTCGGGGGGAATGTGTTCTTGTTATTCTTCTTTTTATTGGTGGTAGCCTACTTTATATGGTTCTTTGCAGTGTCGATAGATGTCACATCACCAAATAAGGTTATTGCAAAGGTTGATATGCTATTGTTGTTCTTGTTCATCATGTTTCTGTATGTCGTTCTCATCCTTTATTCGAGAGGAAAGAAAAAGATTGAGCAACTTTGCTACAACGCAAACAAGTGCCCTAAAGAAGCTTCGGCAGATGAAGTTCAGAAGAACGATGCTAGTATATTACAAGTAATGAGCGAAGTGCTCAAGATATTACATTAGCATGATATTGGATACTTTAAAGAGAATCTGGCTTGAGGGGCATTCAAAATTATTGTTTTCTTCTGATTCTTCCAGCCTACAATGCATTACTACAACGTGGGAATTAGTATTAAGTTTGAACATCATCAGATCATCAGATATCATGTCATTTAATTATAAATAACAGTCTCGTTTTCCGGTTCTTTTGCCTGTTGAAATGTCAATTCATATGGTAAATTTGTGCTTGAGTAATTCGATTGTTTGCTGATTAGGAATTTATGGCAGGAATTCATATAATTATATCTTGCCAATGGTTGGCGTTGCCAATATTATTTGTGATGGTGAAAATTAGCATCCAATTTTCGTACATATTATTATCCAACACTTTGTAGTAGATTATCGTTACTTTTCGTAGATAGGATAAAATTAATTGAAAGATAAAATATTAATAATCTTATCACATATTTGTTATGTACTTAAATAAAAAAAATTAAATTATTGAAAAGATTAGATATCTTACGCTAATAGTATAACTCTATCTTTTGAAAAAATAAAAGATTATTTTTAATTTATAGGATAAAATTTATATGTCTTATTATACCTTTAAAATTTATATTAATAATTTAAATTGTATAAACTTTAAGGAAGAATAATTTTGACTAATTAATAAATTATTTTATCTTAATTTTTATACACATTAAAAATAAGATAAGATGATATTATTTTATCTAATCCTGTTCATACTATTATCTTTCCTTATCCTATTATA